TAATAATTTCATGTGTTATTTCAAAAATTATCTGTAATTAATAGCACTCTTAAGTATTCTATTCTAATAAACAATCCTCATAATTTTGACTTAACAATATAGGATTTGAGTTTTTCTAATAATTATCTCATTTTCTCAACTATCATAAATACTAATTTCAAAGTTTATTGTATAAATTTAAATATAAATAATAATAATTTTCTTGGATCCATCTTTATAAAATAAGAATAAGTAAATCAAAAAAATGATATCAATATAGATTTTCATAATCTTAATATTATTAACAATTCAATCAATAATTCAACTATAATAAAAGTAAGATCAGATTTAATATCAAATGGTTTTAGAATAACTTTAACTACTGTAAATATTAGAAATAATAAAAATGATTTTTTTTTCTAATAGAAATTTTATTTATTTGATATTCATGCACAATTTTTAATGGTAAATGGAATAATTATATCAGATTGCCATAATCAAAATATTTTTTATATATTTCAAATCTAAGAAATAATTTTTCAAAATATTTTATATACCAACAACTAATTACAACGTAAAGTACCTATGAGCTTATAATGCTCTGATTAAATTAATTAAAATTAGCAATTTTTGGAGTTATAAGGATTTCAAAATTTAAAATTATTTAATATATCAATTTAAAATCATTTCAATATTGATTAGAGTTTGATTTCTATTTTTTCAAAAATCATATATTAATCTCATCTTTTAGAAGTGATAAATATACAAAATTTAACTTTTTCCAATAATATACTATTGAAGAACAAAATAGGCAATTTATTATCATTAATAGCTATATATTCTGAAAAAGAATAAATAATTGAAATTTCTAATATGAAATTTATAGAAAACATATTTAATTAATATTCTGACGATTTATCTATATCATCCTCAAGCTTGTTCTACATTAATTCTTAATTAAGTAAAATAATACTGATTAATTGCTTATGTTATAATAATATGCTAACAAATTCATCAAATTCCTTCTCCTCAATTTAATCTTATAATGCTATTATATAAAATTTGACAGTTAAGAATCATAATATTATCAATGAAGAGATTTTCAAAAAATATTACTAAATAGATTTTTTATAATCTTTAACGTAAAAAGAAATTTTACTTTTAATTAAGTCTTATTTGAAGATATAAAATAAAGGAGTCATGTAAATTACTGCTTCTAATTTTTTATTAAAAGAAAGTACTTTCGAAAATATTTTAGCATAAAGTAGTGCTGTATTAGAAATCATAACAAAATTTCTAGGTGTAATTAGTATCTAAAGAGTAAGTTTAAAGAATATCTAAGTTGATTTTACATAAAACTTAGACATACATGGTAGTATCACTATCTACTCTTAAAATAGTTAATTACAATTAGAATTAAATAATGTTAATTTTATTAATGTTTATAACAAATTTGGTTCTTCTTGTTTAACTCTTTTTCCATCAATGAAATAAAATAACTTATTATTTTATAATATTTATCTAGAAAACAGCCTCTCTTTAATGAATACGTTCACAAAACTTGAATTTTAATAATAAATGATTAATTCCAACATTATTATAATTTAGAATATGACTATTATCTAAACAATGGAAGCATGGTTGAACTATTTTTAATTTGTCGGAACTTTAAGTTTAATAGAAATGCTTAAAACTCTTAATGATAATGCCATAATCAATGTATTTGGTAGTTCTGTTAAAATTATAGGTTTAAATGTTTAAGGAGTGCTTATTTCTTCAGTAGTGAAGATTGTTGATGCTTATTAATTGTAGTTAATAAAAACTTATTTTACTTACATTTCAACTTTTATTTCAGTCAATATTATTAATATAGGTTAGAACAGACTTGATAAAATTTAGATATTTATTAATTAAATGGAATTTAGTTCATTTGTATAATTTTAAACAGATTAAAATTAGTTGATAATTACAAATCTAATAAACATGAATAATCAATTTTCATAATGTTCTCCAATAATTGATAAATCTCATTTTATTAGGTCCAAACATAATATATATTCAACTATAAACTAATTAAGTTAAAAATAATCAAATATTGGATCTATGATCTTTATTTAGAGTTGGACAAATCAAACTAAATTTTTATTAAACTCTTTGATTATTAAAAATAATTAATGCTCTAATTGTGAACTAGGAATAATATACTTAGACATTTAAAATATGAATTAAATTAAAATAAATAACATCTTGTGTTATTCAAACAAGATATCAAAAAATGGATGTATTACTATTATGTCTAATTCATCTTAAAAAAGTTCTATTATTATTTAGAATTCTTAATTCATCAATAATTATGGTAGTTAAGGGTCAGGAATTAATTCATATTTTATAAATTTGAAAATTTCAAATTGCATTTTTCTTAATAATTATGCATCAACCATGGGAGGGGCTATTTTTATTGGATCAAATTCAAGTTAATTTTAATTTTTTAAAACAATTACTATGGAAAATGAGGCTAAGGTTGGAGGTGGAATTTATTTGAACGGAAATAACAATCATTTGAATAGTTTCAATTTTAATAGATCCATTTTGTATAATAATAAAGCCTAAGAAAACTCTAATAATTTAATTGAAATACCAAATCATTTAGTATTAGAAATAAATAATCAAGAAATGAATTTTTATTAAAATAGTTAAAATGGAACAATAACAAATATCCTTAAATTAAACCCTTATGAAACAATTTAGCAAAGTTAAAAAATTAAAACCGCTTATTTGATGATACCAAGTAATCAATAAATAGGAAACTACGGTTTGTTTAGTTTATAAAAACTGGATTATTTGGGATAAATTAATGATATTTCCCTATCATTTAGAAATAGTATGAATGAAGTACTAACTAATGTTCATGATTAAATTTGTGAATTAAGCTAAACTGTTGTAACTCTAGATGGAAAACTAAAAAAAGAAAAAAGATTTTTATAAGTTCTATCAATTAATAGTTAAAGCTAAAATAATACACAAAAAGTTATACAAACATGTAATGTAACATCTGTTCAAAGGAATCTATTAATTTTTTACCATTTATATTTGTATTTTTATTGTAAAAATTCTTATTTATATTTATAGATCTCTACTATCAATTTTATTATCAGTGAGAAGCATTGAATAATCAAATCAACTATATTCTTCATTGAGTTTTAAATAGAAATTTAGAAGAATAATATTTAAACTTAATTAAGGTATTAAAACATTTAAAATATTTTAGATCACTAAAGTTTTTTAATTAAGATGTTACTCAATTATTTGTGGATTTTTTCACTTATTTATAGCTTCAATATTAATTTTCTTTTTTCAATTACATTTTTTGAATCAACAAGCAATTCTTCTTATGTCTTAGCTAATAGTTTAGATTGCTATTTATCTTCTAAATTAAATACAGATATTGTATATTCTAGAATAATTACTATGATAATTCTAATTATCTTATAATTGATATTATTTACTCTTGCTTTTAAACTTCATTCAATGTTAAAAAAGTCTAATTTTCGAATGAGTCTAATAACTAACACAATTCTATATTTATACCTTTCAAATAATGCAACATTAATTAAATTGTATAATATAATTTTAAAGTTAGGTTCTGTTCATTATTAGCTGTGAGGAGAATATCTGAAATTGACTTTGTTTAAGGAAATGTATCATTATTATTCAATACTTAAACTCATTTTCGATGGATATTTGGATTTATACTTCCAGGTTTAATTATGGTTGGTGTTGTAATCCCAGTATTTTTGTTTATGCTAATATATTTTAGAAGGGATTTAATAGAAAAAGTAAAATTTAGAAGGCATATTTGTTATTTGTTTAATGAATATAACCAAAATTCCTATTTTTGGGAATAAATTAAGATTTGGAAAAAAACACTAATTATTTTGATTATGATATATTTTGAAACTAATATACTATTAAAAGCCTCATTATTGGGATTATGCTTATTATTATATTAAACTTTGGCTTTGAAATATAAACCATTTATCTTAAATAGCTTAAATAATTTGGACATCTCTACATGCTAAATATGTTCAATATCAATATTTTTAGCTTCAGTCTAATATGTGAGTGATTAACAAAACCATATCATATCGATTATTTTATAAGTAAATTTAGTTTTGTTATGGATAAAACTTTGTTAACCTTTTATTGTAAAGATTTTTAGCATTTATTATAAAAAATATAGAATAGAATTTTTAATTTAAATTCAAAATTGTGTTAAGAAAATTAAATCAAATTTTTGTTTAGTTTATATATTGAATAAACAAATTTAGAAAATGAAAATGAAAGAGAAACAAATATAAACAAATTATGGAAAATTAAAGATGTATTTGATCTGCTTTTCTAAAATGTCACTTGAATAACACAGGTATTTATGAAACTATATTTAGAAATATGAATTCATAATTAATTCCTTTCTAAACATTAAGAAGTAGAATATCTTTTTAAGAAAACGATACAAAATAATTCTTTAATTGAAAAAATAATTCGTTTATAATTAATTATTTAATGACTATATATATTCATTATTTTATTATAAATTTATTATACTTGTGCATAGAGTTTTTGAACTTTAAATCTCAATATCCAATATATTTCTAATATAATTATAAATAAATATTAATTAATTAATTAATTAAACAATAATATATTAATATTTTTAATTATAAAATTATGAATAATAAAATTTGTATATAGCGTTAGTAATAGTAATGACAAAACCAGTAAGAAATGATAATCATAAATCATTATATTAGTAATTTACTTCCTATTGAATTTAAGAATTAAAGAAGTATCATTTAAAATTTTATTTCTTATTCAAAGTATTAGTTAATGGATATTATATGATAAAAATATAGTATTTGCATATTTGGAATGCATAATCTTAAAGAAAAATATCTTTAGAGAGGTATTTCATTTTTTTAAGATATTAAAGACATTTATAAGTAGCTATTAATGGAATATTATCATTATTATTCTTGCATTTCAATATCTAAGAGATTGTTGAGAAGTGGAAAGTTACGATCTACTAAGGCTAAATTTTAGATTTGAAAATATCTTGAGATTAAATATATATCTACCTTCTTCCATACAAAGGGTAAAACATGGACCATAACTATGGCAAATCATTAACCCAATTCATTGAAAAAACTGGTAAATAATAGCAGCGTGGTCTATCAAGAGTTGGTGTATAATATGAAAGTGGATTCCATCCTAAACTTGGGATTTCATAGAGGAAAATAAATAGACAAAATGTTCCAAAACATGCATAAGATAATGATAGCATTGCAAGTGAATAGAATCCATAATCTAATATGAATTATTTTTTTTATTTTACTTGTAGATCTAACATACCAAAGGAATAAATAATAATATATGATGGTAAATTTGGGGACAAAGTACAAAGAGGACCGTGTTCTTAAAAATAATAATGAGGCAAATTCATTTACTGTAATTAGACTTAATAATTATAATAAAATGGATACCCAAAAAAATTATCCTCTAAACCAAATGGAACTTAAGCTTTAAATAATAAGTAGCTTCCAATAATTATTGAAGATAAATAAATGAAATAAATTAAAAACAACATTAAAGCAAAAGCTATAATTAGTTATTTTTTTGATCTTTGTGTTCTATCAAGTATATTTAAATATAATCCTATCCAGGGGAATGCACGTGCCAAAAATATTGGAAATATTTGTCTATTTCCAAAGATATAAGACACTTCTACTAAAATTGATTATGAAAATAAGTGATACACATTATAATAATGATGACTGGAGCACAAATAATTGTAATTTTAATATAAAGTGATGAAATTGCTGAAGAGATAAATAATCCTAAAGTAATGACTAAAAATTCCCATAAGTTATGAGCTGCTTTTCCTAAGTAATTTTGAGGGTCTTTCTTCTATTTCCATATAAATGTTTAATTGGTAGCATTATTCTTAACATAAATATTTGAATTGATTGAATAGGCAACATCATGCAAGAATAAAGTTTCTAAATTTATTGTCTAAGAAAGTAACTTTTAAAGACTACTATCAAAATAGCTTTTGTAATCTATAGTAATGTTTATAATTGTAAAATTATGTAATTGCAGTAATTCTGTTTTTAAATGCAATAATTCTTATGTGCTTGCATATTTCATCATTAATAGTGTAGTATCATCATCTAGAATTGAATAATGATAAATAGAATCTTTAGCATCTTGATCAAATTAGATTTAATTAATAGTCCTATTACTCAATCCCCAAATTAAAAGCAAATTTAATGATGCCATAATTAATAAAATCACACTGCAAATATTTGTGAATTTAGGAACATATTAATGAGTCAAGATTCGTTCTTAAACTCTATATAATGTTTTTTCTAATTCCATTTAATAATTTAATTTAATTTATCATTCATAATGTATAATAATATAACACATCATTGAAGTATTCATGTTGAATAGAATTTATCAATGTTCATTTACTAAATGTATTTTTTTGTGTAAATTAATAAGTAAATCAAAAAATAGCAGAAATCATAAGACTGATAATAATGAATTGAATTAGTGTATAATACATTATTAGTAATATAAATAACTTATAATATTCTAAATTAAATGAGACAAACTCCTTTTTAAAGTGTTGGTCAGCAAAGCTTCAATAATCCTGCAATGCAAATGGTATCTCCACCATCATAACTAAATTCATTCATGAATGATTATGATTAATTAGTTAGACCAGGAGAAACAACAAATAGAAGACCAAGATCAAGAGAATTGGATATGATGAATTTATTATTGATTGGAAGTATGAATAAAGGAGATAAAAGAAGTGGATTAGAGAGTCTTGATTAGCTTTTGGGTTCTCCAAATCCAACAACTTCATTAAGTACTACTAATAGTCTAGCAAATTTTGGTTAATAATTATTGGGATAGCCTTATGGAATGAGTCCATTTGATCCTCTTATGCCTAACAATTAGTTAAGAGATTAAAGATCTATGCCTATGTTGCCTATGCCATAATAATTTCCTATGCAATAACCGTAATTCCCTATGTAATAACCTTAATTTCCTATGCCATAACCATAATTCCCATTATAATAACCTTAATTCCCTATGTAATAAGGATAATTTCCATTATAATAACCATCATAATATCCATTCAACTAATAATAATTTAATTCACCTAATCAATAGATTAAAAATTAAGAGAAATTACTAATTAATGGATAGATGGGTGTTACTGTTAATCAAACTACTCAATAAGCTCCTGAATTATAAGAACCACCTAAAAATAGGATAATCGATTATATTGCTAGATAAAATGAAGTATTAGAAAAATTAACAAAAAATATGGCATCATAAAGGGAGAAAGAAAGTTAAGAAGAAAAGCAGAAACTTTTGGAGAGAATGAAAAAATTAGAAGCTTAAAATGCTTAAGATGCTTTTTATAATGATATGTATGATGAAGTACCTCCACATATGAGATAAGGTTAATAATTTAAACCTCCTCCAGGTTATTAGTATCAACCTTATTTTTAATAATAGAATTTATATTAACAATAATTTCCAACAATGCCATATCCAGAAAAATAGAAATCAAAGTAACAAACATTATAAATGTTGAGAATGTTAAAGCAAATTGTAATAAAAACAATTTAAATTTAAGAAAATAGCAAATTAGAGAAAGAAAAATAAAAAACATAAAAAGCAATTAGATTTTGAAGAAATAATAAATGATCAAGCAGAAGTTGATTCATTTACAAGTGAAGAGAGTGATCCTGAACCTAGAGTTGTATAAAAGCCAAGAATATTAAAACCAAGACCAATTCCACCTCCACCTAATTATGATCCTACAGATGATCAAACAAAATTAAATTAATTAATAAAGTATTTTTTTTATTTATAAAATATAGACAACGAGGTAAAAAGAAATTAAAATTACGTTTTATAATGATGTTTTATTTCATATGGAAACTTAATGATTTAAAGAAAATCATTTTAGCAAAGAAATAATATATTAATAAAGAAGGACCTGAGATTCTACAAAAGTTTATGGAGGATACTCATAGTTTATTTGTTAGAGTATTAAAAAATGTATTTGATGATTTACTTTTGCCTAATTTGAATATTTAAATAGTTCCAAAACCAAAATAAAAGATTTCACCTAATTAAATGAATCAAAATATCAAAAAATTAAAAGAGATCCTAAAAAAATTATTTGATGGTGTGACTGATAATGCTAATGAAACAGATTTTACTGAGAATATGTTAATTTATTTGAATAGCATAACATGTGAATATGCATATCTATTAGATAGTTAACATTTGAGATTTGAAATGAATAGATTAAATTTTACATATCATGGATCATTAAAGAATATGGAATAAAAGAAATAATTTATGATGATTGTAATTTCGATGATTGTAAAAGTTTTATTGTATAGACTATTAAGTAAAGCACATATTTAAATAAAAAATGTTAAAGTTACTGATTAACTCAAAATTAATATGAAGACCATTACATCTGCTACTTATGAAATATTTTTATTATTTATACGTGGAGCAACTGCAATTTAACCAAATAATACAAAGGATTTACCTATTGAAAATTTAGTGAAAGAAAAGAAAGATATGTATTATTTAGTTGATACATTTGATGCAACTGAAGAAGAAATAGCTAAATTAGAAGAAGCTAAATAGAAAGCTAATTCTAAAGATGAGAGAATAGATGAACCTATGTTATATCCTATTTATAGTGGCAGAGAAATGTCAGCTTTGTATCATATATTATATTATATTATATTTATAGTTTTGATACAGAAAGAATTTTTGTTACTACTCTTTAATAAATGGTTGAAGGTTGGTGTGAAAAGATTTACAATATTCTATAAAATTATAGAAATGAGAAGGACAATAAAAGGAAAGAGATATTAAGAAAGAATAGAGAATAACTTAATAATTCTCTTGCAATTAAAAGAGATAGAGTGAATAAATAAATTTAATTAAATAAAGAGAGAGATTAATAATTGTCATAAGAGATAGAAGAACTCAGAATAAAGATTGCTGAAAGTAATGAAAAGGCAAAACGGGCTAAAGAAAATTATGATTAAATGTAAAGATAAAGGGAAGAAAGACATAATAATATGTTAATTGGACCTAGAAATACAGGTTAATAAATGCCTATTTCATATGATGGCCAATATGGATAACCAATGAGAAGATAGTTTTGATTTATTTTGATAATTTAATATTTATTTATAGTTCATATGATATTTGATTGTCAAGTTATTAGAAAACACTTACTCATAGACAAATATTATTAATTACAATTCTATGAGGATCGAATCTTAATTGGATAAGAAGTATTAATTAACATTAATCTTAAGAATAGACATCCAACTAAATATGAGATAGCCTTAAATCTAACCAATCGAATAAGTTGGAAATTAAATGAAAAACAATAAATTATTGAATTTGGAATCAAATACAATAATAATATTAAATGGTTTACAGGTAAGAATGAGAACTTATAGAGAATTAAGCAATTACTTACTAATAAAATATTTAATCATAGTATATCCACTTTTTATTAGTCATCTGAACTAATAGGTTAAGGAGCTTCTAGCAAAGTCATAACTATATTAGATTAAAGTAAATTTAAATATGCTGCTAAATGTATAAGCAAAGATTACATAACAAAAAAGAAGACTCCAGATCGTTTAAATAGACTTATAAGTGAAATTACCATCTTAAGATCTTTGTTAAATCATCAAAATGTGATTTAATTACTAGATATTTTTGAAGGTGAATCTACTTATTATCTAATTTTTGAATATCTCCAAGGAGACACACTTCATAAATTCCTCAAATAATAATCAAAACCACTCTCTGAAGAAATGATTCGTATTATTTTAGCTGTAATTTATATTTCATATATATAGTAATTACTTTAAGGAATTCATTACATTCATTCAAATAATTACATTCATAGAGATATCAAATTGGAAAATATTGTATTATCCACAAAACAATGTATACAAAATTTGAAGATTATTGATTTTGGATTAGCCATACCCTCTACAGTTTTCACACCTTTTGCCATCTGTGGAACACCAGGGTATATAGCACCTGAAATACTTTAATACAAAGAATCCAGTTAGGGATAATTTAGATTCACTTCTAAAGTTGATATGTTTGGTATAGGTGTTATGCTTTATAGAATGTATTAAATAATTGTTTATAATTGTTAGGATGACTAGAAAATCACTTTTTGATTCAGAAAACACAAAAGAATTACTTTCTCTTAATCGAAAATGTTAATTACCTAAATTATCTATTTCTGGATATTCCAATGAATTGAATAATTTATTATTTGGATTACTTGAATCAAATCCAATTAAGAGATTATCATCAGAAGAATCATTAATTATTATGAATATTACTTAAATGACTTAAGAACTATAATTATCTTAATTCACAACATTTTAATATGATTAAGATGATTTTGAAGTTGAACATTCAATTGATTATGCAAATGCTCCTTATCAATTCCCTAATAAATTTATGAAATATGAATTAGAAAACAGTTTTCATTATAATGAAGATCATAAACATTCAAGCTTACATAAATCATTCAAACTTTCATTTAGTTTAAGGATAAGTTAGGAAATTCCAAAATAAGATTTTGTTATTGAAAACTTTCAAAATATTCCCTCATGAAATTTCAATTCTATATCATTTTTATTATAAATAAATGTTTTTTGTAAGATTAATATTTTCAATTATCAAACTAATTGAAAATTGTTAATTACATCAGATTAATTAATATATTTATTAAAATATAATCATTAAATAAATAGAATTTCAAATCATTTAGGAATGTGATCCTAAACTTTATTCTTCTCTAAAATTCTATTGCAGATTGAACTTGCTATTAAAATTGATCCACAGATACTTAAAATTGATATATGAGCACCTCTCAATATATCAAATAAGTATCCATATATTAATTAAGTTTAACCAAGCATTGCCATTTCTGTTAAATTCCCTTTCATATAAGCTCTATTCATCAATAATTATTATAAGTAAGAAACTATTCCAATCAAACATAATTTAAATAACTCTATTATGCTTGGTACCCTCCATATCATATTTGGATTGCAAGTTGCCAAAAAAGATGAAAATATAATCGAAATTATACTAAAATATTATGGTATTACCATCTAATTAACCTATTATTATAATTTACAATATTTACACAATGTGATAAATTTTTAATCAACACTTAAACAAGAGAAAATAATAATGTAGACATAAGCAAAATACAACAGCCTAATAATTAATTTTGTTTCTCATCATTAATTTAATATTCACCTACTAATTTCCTTAAAAATGGAGGTTGAACCAATAATAATATACCTATAAAGCAAAACAAAAAATTCATAATAAGTCTCAATGACAATTATTCTGTTTTTAATATATAAATTGCTATGATTGTAGTCCAAATAGATGTCGTTTGCATAAGTACTTAAGCTTCAGAAATATTAACATAAAACAATCCTGTATAGAATAAAAGAGTGGCAAAAAAACCTAATAGACTTCTCAGAAGTAGCTTTTAATAAATACCAGCATCAAACCCATATAAATTTATATTTTGTTATTAAGTAACTAATTTTCCAATTATGCATACAATAATCCCTCTTCCAAATACAACTTGATTGGCATTCATTCCCAAAGTTTTACTTAACAAAGAATTTATAGAACTAAGCAGTATTCCTGTCATTACATACACTACAGGAGCACCTCTTTTCCAATTTGATTCAAGATATTTTGTAAAATACTCAATCTAGGTAACTATAAATTCCATTTTAGTAATCTATCCTGATTGTGATATTTAAAGAAAAAGTGATTTATTTTAATGATTTGGAAAATATCAAATTAAAGATGAATAACAGTTTACAATTAATTCTGATTGATGATAGTGAATAATAATCATTTTTTTTATCAAGCCTCAATATATATGTTATATTTTAATACACAATATCATAAAATGTATTGTATTTTTTATAAGATATACATTATCATCTTATTAAAAAATAGTTTAATTTAACTCTATATATGTAAGATTTTTAAAACCATTACAGAATCATTTCATTATTATAAATAGAAGAAAAGGAAATCTAAATGATAATTTCTTTTATAATTACATAAATTAATAGAAAATTTATCTGTTAATTTATATAATTTATTCTTTTTAAATTATATTATGTCAATCTCTATTTTCTATCTTAAGTAGAAAATATGATAACATTTAGTTATCTATTATTGATTATAATTAACAGAATGATTTTTTAATTACGTAATTATTTCTAAATTTTTGGTTTTTGATGACAAATCATACAGTTAATTATTGGCATTGTAGAATATAAGATATTATTATTCAAATGCTTTATAAAAGATTAGATAATGATATTTATATATATGAACTATATTAAATTAAATTTATATATATGAGTTCTGGGGAAAGTGATTCAGAATATTAAGAGTTTGTTACAAACTTTTATGATTTAGTTCAAGATATAAATGAATGTAATGATAATCAATAACAATTTAGATTATGCTACTAAATCCAAAGAAAATAGAACTGCTAAATTTCTAAAATAAGCAAAAGCGCGAAGAAGTATAATATTTTACTATATAATATAGAAGTAAATCAAATTACTTTTCGAATGCCAGAAAATCCAGATCAAAATGTTTCTGAAATCATTTCTTACAATAAAAATTAAGCAGAGAAATTAGTAAAACCTATGAGACATCAAACAAAAAATTTAGAAAATTCCCAAGTAGAACCTTACATTTTTAATGTTCATTTAATACTTAGGTAATTATGATTTTCTTATCTAAGGGATCTCAAATTGAAATAGCAAATACTCAGAAATGCTTAGAAATAAGTATATTTGAATTTGATTGAATATCACAAATAAAAGACAAAGAAATCAAAACCTAGAAATTGTTGCTTACATATGTAAACAACCTTATTTAATTTTTTATAATTAGATATTTAGCTGAGAAAATATATTAAGAGAAAATGAAAGAAGCAGCAACATGTAAGAAATTCCAAGAAGGCCCTAAAATAGTTATTCCTCTACTAAAGAATCAAGCATAAACTAGAAAAGGAAGTATGGAATGATAATACAATTTTTATTTACTTGTCTATTTGTAAATTTAGATTTAGTTTTAGAATAAAAAGCATCTTGTTTTAATTGTTAAATTTAAAATTTAATTAGGCTATGTAATTTTATGTAAGACAAAAAAATCAATATCCTAAATCCAAACCAATAGCTAATAACATTTCTGTTGCTCTATGAATTTTCTTTTCATTAACAAATATATATTATCTGCCATCTACTTCCCAATCTAATTATCCTACTACTTTTTAAACTGGTTCATCTTTTCCTTTCTTAACATTTTTTTTATCATCCTTTTTTTTAACATCTTTTCCTTTTCCCTTACTTTATTCTTTCTTTTAATCAATCAAAGCTTATTAAGCTTTCTTCTCCTCTAATTCTGCATCTTTTTCTTTTTAAATCATTTCCATTTTTGACTATACAAGTTCCTATTCATTTTATAAGGGAAACCAATGTTCAGCTGAAGTTTTCGTTTCTTCTTTAAATAATCGATATTTTTTATTTAATTATTTATTGTAACCTCTCAACCAATCACAAGTGATTTTACATACTCCCAAGATTCTTATCTATTATTCAGGTAATTCATCTTAACCTAAAACAGGCTTTTTCTCTCCATCATCTGCCTAAAATAATTAATAACTTAATTTATACAATATACATTTTTGGTTCTTCAACTTATACCTAAACTAAAAAACCCTACTCAACTGCATCCCTTATTTCAACTTCAGGATTATAGAGTTAATCAAAAGAAAATTCAAAATCTATTCTTCCTATTTCATTTTCAATTGTAGCTGTTTCATATAATATTTCTTTAGTTTTTAATTCAACTCCAAATAAATTAGTTGTAATAACATATTTACTTTAAAATAATTTACTATTTTATTCCATTAAAGGGTAAGTATATTTATCTAATAGTATTCCTTCTAGATTTTCTAAAGTTTATATTTTTAAAGAAATTTTAAATTATCTTAATTCATTTAAATTGATTTTAGGTTCTTCTATTGGAATTATTACTTAAGGTTATTGTACTACAACAGGATCAGGTTATTTACCTGGTTTTCCACCTTTTTTATTTTTATCAGCTAATAATTTTTATTAAATTTCAAACTCTTCCTATTATTTCCTTAAGGCTTCTTATTTTTTGGCTTATTTTTCTTTTTCTGCTTATTCCAACCTATTTTTAATTTCTAAAAAACTCTATTCATCAAAGTTTCTTAAATTCAATAGGTTATCAACTATATATATAAAGTATTAAGGCATTAAAACTAATGGATTACCATAAAGAGATAGCATTTTTAAATTTGAAATCTTTTTACATGCTTCTACTGAATATTCTAAATCACAAAGTTAATTATGAGCTAAATCTAAACCTATTAATTAAGGTAAGAATTTGGAAATAGTTTATATAGCATCATCATTCAATAAACAATATCCTAAACCTAAATACTAAAGATTATGTTTTAATAAATTCAATGCTGTTATGGGATTATTAAATAGATGTAATTCAATTAATTATTAAGGTAAATGTTAGACAATTTCAATTTTGTTATGATTTAATCTTAATAATTACAAATTTTTAAATTGTAATAATTGATTATCCATTAATGTTATATCTTCAGAATCAAATACTATATTGGTATATGTTTCTATCATATATTCTTTATTGCAAATAAAATCAGCAAATCCATTTTCAGAGATGTTTTTATATATCTTTTCATTATCTGGAGACCTACATATTCACTCATTAATTACCATTGTGTAACTTAATCTAAATTGATATTCATTTCATCTTCAGTCAATTCATATAACTTAAATTGCTTCAATGGCTTTTTTTCTAAGAGTATTTCCATTCTCATATCTTCCCTCACTTTTCTCCAAAACACATTTGAAAATTGATTATTTTACATTTGGCTACAATAATAATAATAATAATAATAATTTATGTTATTTAAATAAGATAGTATAATTCATTATTATTATTTACGTAATGATGATTATCTATTTGATGAACGAATATAAGCTTAATATATATTTTTGGATGCTTATTCTTATGGTCCAATTGTTTATCCACTATATGCAGATTCTAAATTTTAATATTTGTGTAATAATTCTTATATTGTATTCTCTTTTTATATTATTATATTGTTTGAATCTTTATTTTCTTATTCAAGAATTCTTATTTAAGTATTAAAGGCTGCTTTTAAATTATCTATTTGATAATGATGTGATTATTCAAGTTTTGCTCTTAATTCATCTCTTTCTTTCAATTTATCTCTTTCCTATAAAACCAATCTAGTCTTTAATTATTCAATTTCTTCAATTAAAGCTTTAAATTCTCTTTCTGGAATCTATTTGATTTAAGAATCAGTTAATTCTTTTTGTTTTCTCAATTCTTAATGCATAATATCAATCTTATTTTCCAAACTTCTAATTTTGTCTTTTAATATATATTCATTTTATTAGGATTTAACTTTCCATTCTTCCTATTCAAATGAAGCAATCTTTTCTAATTCTTTTATTTATTCATTTAAAGTTTAATTTTATTATCTTAAATGTTATAAATCTTCTTCCAATGCTTATTTAATTAATATAAATTATTAAATCTAAGTTTCTACTTCCTTATTCTTTACAATCTCTTTTTCTTATTATAATTATAATTCATTTTCCAATTTTATTACTTACTTCTTATAAATATTTTCAAATTCTATTTATGATTATTTAGTCTATAATAATTCAGATTCAACTTATTATAAATCTTTTAATTTTGTTTATTCAAGTTATGCCAATCTTTATTTCAAAATTTCATTATCTTTTTTTAACATATCAAATTATCTTTCATAATTATCTCTTAATTATGTCTTTTCTGTTGTTAAATCTTAGATTTCTTTTGAATAATTTTCATTTTTCTTTTAATAAGTAGATATCTCTTTTTCTAAAGTAAAAATACTTTGTTCATAATTCTTACTAAGTGATTATAAACTAAATTTTTATTCATCCAACAATTATTATTATAATTATGCTAATTAATCTCTATGTTAAATTTCTTATTTCTAATATTTAGATTTCTAACCATCAAATTAAGTATTTAATTCATTTATCTAATTTTCATAAGAAACCTTTAATTTCATATTTTATTAAAGTAATGTTTCAATTTCATTATTTTTTATTTCCAACAATCCTCTTAATTTATCTATTTCTGATTCAACTACTGAAATCTAACTTTGATGAGTTTTTCTTAAATTATCCAAATTTTAAGAATGAAATGTCTCTATCTTAAATCTCATTTATTCTAACTCTCTATTAAATTATATTTATTATATAATACTTTTATCTTTCTAATTCAATTTAATTTATCTTATGTCTTAAATTATCATTCTCATTAAGAAGTCTTTATGATTCATTCTCATGTTCTAATCTCATCCTCTACAATTTACTCACTAAATCATCAATCTCTAAATCCTTATCTTATAATGTTTCTCTAACTAATTATTTATCATTCAATCTTTTCTCATATTCAAATTGATCTATCTTATCCAATAATCTTTGAACCTCCTTTGATAATTGTTATAATTCCAATTCATAATTATTCCTCATCTACATAGCTTATGATAATTGTTATTCATATTTCTATTTCCATAATTCAGCTTCACTTCTCTTCTATATCATTTATTTAGTCATTTTTTCTAATTCTACATGCAAATCGTTATTAAATTATGTGTCACCTTTACCACTATGAGTCAAAACGTTGCTAAATCGAACATCCATTCTCTACAATTAAGCTTCCAGATCTCGAATTCTTTGTCTATAAGGTTCAACTTCATCATACTATTTATAACCACTCATGTCTGTTAAAATATTTATATTAATAATTAATCCATTATTATTTTTAGATTAGTAATTATCAACATTTATAGTCTAATGATAATAGATTATTATCTTAAATATTCATTTCTATCTTATTAGACTAATGGATTCAGTACAGAATTAAAAAAATATATATATATATTTATGTTTTACTAATTTTAATAGTTTTATTTTCTTGATATTCAAAAATGAAAGTATATTTAAAAACTTATTTAACTATGAATATAATTTTAATTCATAAATTTATAAGTTCTTACAAAAAATTATATAATTCCTATTCGAATTATGAATGCATTTCCTATTAGTTTAGCTATTCCAAAGATTAAAATATTTAAATGATAGTTTGGATCATCTTTTTAACAGTTTACACACTATCTTTAATAAAAGAATGAAAATCAAAGGATTAGACAGAATCTATTTCATATTCAAATAAGAGTAGATTTTAACAATCTTTTTAAGACATATCATCTAAGTTTATTTTTTTTAGATAATCAGTGATTAATTATGATAGAGAAATATCATTGTTCTCAATACATATCTTTCGATTTAACTTCTAAAAACTTTATATTCCTGATTAAGTAATTGTGAAGTTGAATCCATCTGTTCTACTCATAATTAAATTTGTTATGAAATTAATTAAATCTAAATAGGAGTAATCTAATTTAAAGATGCTGAATAAAGAATATTAATTCAATTCTTATTTTTAAATAAGAAATATTTTTATTCCTTTTTGGTTGATAAGATTCTTATTCATCTCCGATATTGTTGTTTTCTTTATCTCACTTAATTAATTACCATTTCTTTCTAGAGTTATAATAAATAATCTTGGATAACTATTTGATATCTCCTCAATGCTTGTGGACTCTAAATTAATAAAAGTTTCATTACATAATCGTATATCTGAGTAGGTTATAATTTTTATCATCAATATTAATATTATCTTGGTAATAATATAAAGAAGATAAATAATTATAAATATATATTCAAATTCTTTATAAGTATTACATTATTATACCAACTTAAATAAATTAATAAATAAAAAATTAAATTATAAGACTCCTATTTTCTAACTTAAAAGAATTTTTGATTTGACGATGTCTACATATCTCAGATTAACCTTTCGTTATTAATAAAATATAAAGTTATTTCTCACACAAAGAAATCTTAAATCAATAGAATTAGGAATATTAAATCTTAATATTATTTAAAAGGAATAAACAAAGTTTAGATACTTATAGATACATATGTAATAGAATTGCAATATTAAATGTAGAATTTAAATAAATGGTAATTCACTTAAAGTGAATAATAGTGAGATTGAATTCAAAAAATTGATTTAGAACCTAAAGATGAAGATTGAATCTTGATATCATAAAATTCAAATTAAATTAATTATAATTGAGATTTTATTATGATGATAAGTAATTCAATGAATTTCTTTTATACATATATATAAATATTTAAGCAATTTATATTATGAAATTTGGATTTTAAATATAATCAAGGGTTTATGTATCTTTCTTTGAATTTAGAAACTTATAAAATTACATATAAGGATTATTAATTTTTTTAGTTCCACTCAAAATTATAATGATATTGAAGTATTATATTATTATTAACTTAGTGAATTTAATGAATTTTCTATAAAACTTCTATGCGTCTTAAAATATTTTTGATTTATGTTTGCTAATTATTTATTCATTTATTGTATGTTTGTCTAAAATTTGAAAGTAACATTAAATCCATATGTTAGAATAAGTTATGCAAGAAAATAAAAATTATTATAATAAATGGACAAGCAGTCTCGTTTAAATTAGGAACAGATTCTAAGATGTATCAGAAATCATAGAGATTTGAATGAAATCTTGACAAAATAAAAAGATCATAGTTCATAAGAATTATTTGATGACATTGACAAAGCAACAATGAATTAATCAAATGAAAGTAAGTAAAGTTAAGAGAGCAAATCTAATAGTGATAAAATAGATAGAGCCATATAAATGTTCACAGGTAAAGCCAATAAGCATGAAATATCAATAGAACCTAAAGTTATATTATATGCAAAAGAAGATAATTTATCATCAGATCAGATGATGGAATAAATTTCTGAAGTTTTTAAGAATAAATCATTTGACTAAAAAGTTGGTTCAAATCTTTCAACAGAGATTTCAAATGAACCTTGTTTATAATTGGGATCATCTTGTTAAAGTTTGTTTACAAGTGGTTCAGAAACTGAAAGAAGGAAGAGAAAAACCATATCAGAAGAGGAATCACATTATTTTGTAGTAAAGATTGACAAAGTAATGAATTATACAGATGAAAGAACAACAATAATGATAAAAAACATTCCCAATAAATATACAGTGCAAATGCTTTAAGATTTAATTGATAATAGACACAACAATTATTATGATTTTTTATATCTTCCAATTGATTTTAAGGTAATTAAATAAGATTATTATAAACTTAGAATAAGTGTAATATGGGTTATGCATTTATAAACTTTGTTCATCCATATTATATAATATAATTTTATAAAGATTTTCATGATAATGGATGGCCACACTTTAATAGTGAGAAAGTAAAAGTTTACAAATATTAGTAATAGATATGTGAATTGAGATATGCAAGAATATAAGGACGTTAAGCATTAGTGTAGCATTTTTAATTTTCAAGTGTGATGAATTAAAAGGTTCTAATAATATATAAATAATTAAAGGATAAGAAACTCAAACCAGTAATAGTGCCTTAAAGTGAATTATCAAGGATTCATCAATTAATTTAAGTAAATCCCTTAACTATCATTTAAGCGATAAAAATAATGATACAGATGATATCTATATTTTTTTTACCTTTTTTTGGTGTTTATTATATATAATTAACTAATCAATAATTGTTTGTTGCTTTTCCTGGATTCAAAATATTAAATGTTTCAATAGATCTAACAGCATTTAATTGTTTTGCAAAATCAGCTAAAGTTGGTTTATATTAACTTCCTCTTAACATAAGAACTGATTCCTTTCCACTTCCTACAATACTTTCAGTCATTTTTCCTTTAGCTTTAAGTAATTTATTTAACATAGATTTTATTTCAGTTTTTAGTTCATTTGCTGTTTATAAATTGGTATTTTCAATTTCATTCTAAGTTATATATATATATATTTTACTTTTGTAATTTTTAATTCTTTAGTTAATTATTTCAATTAAATAGCTAAATTTTATCTTTCTTAAGGTGAAACACTTTCTATTTATGTACTATATTCTTTTAAGAAATCAGTATTAATTTCCATAACATTAGAGTTGCGACAATTCAATAACTCTGGTTTATTTGAATATTTTGATCTTTATTTGTTTATTTCTCTACTTGTATTCTAACTGCAAGTTCTACTTTTCACACTTACAATACATCCAAATTAATTATCACCAACATTTTCTTTATTAGTTTAACATTCAATCTTTTTTTTCAATTCCATAATCTTCTCTTAATGCAATTAGTTTTTTTATTGATAAATGGATTCTAATTATTAGATTTAATATTTCAGTTCGGTATTTTCATTTTCTAATTTCATCATTGCAATAGAACTCTTCTTTTTAGCTTCTATAAGTTCTCTTGAATACTCTTCTAAAGTACTTTAGATTTCTTTGTATACTTTACACTAAAGTATAATTAATTTTATCTAATTACATTAGTTCTTCCTTCCCCTTAACTCCATGCTTACATTATAGTATCATTAAACTTCTTCTAATGTTCTTCTCTTTCTTTAATCTCTTGAATTTGCATATATAGAAATTGATTTCTTTATTCAAGCATTGCTTTTTCATTTTTCCAATCGTTGAGAGACATAATTTTAAAATAATTAACGATATAATCACAATTTCTTAAATTTTAATAATCTTTGACCCAGAAAATCCCAACAATCATCCATTTCTCATTAGAATCAATATAGAATAAAATAAACTATAATAAAGAATTATTCAACCGAAGAGTAACATTTATTTATCCTAAAATTTGAAAAAATATTCTAATTATATTTCTGCTTTAATAAAGGGTTTAAGTAGAAAAAATAATTAGAGATGAAGAAGTATATGAATTAAAAAAAGTAATTAAAACAAAACATTTATCATTTAACATATTATATATTCTAAAATTCAAATTGAATATGAGAAGGTTAAGAAATTTTAGATTAATTTTTTATATTGATTAATTTTAAAAGATAAGTCATTATTATATATATATATATATTGTACATAAGTTTAGTATTGATAGAATGTCTTAGTTTTTATATAAATGCTGTTCTTTATTGAAGAAATAATATACTTGATTAAAGAGAAAGATAGGGTAGAAATTAAAAATTTTGAATTGTCTTGAAACTAGAATCTTGTAAAATATAAATCAAAAATTAATTTATAATTTTGATAAATATCATTATTGAATCAAGTATGTAATTTAACAAATATAATGATATTTAATTACTATTAAACTTATCATTTCTTAAGATTTTTTGGTTTCTATTGGGTATCTAACATTTATTGTGATAAACTAGTTATTTATGATCCTTGAGTTTTGAGAGGTTTATCTAATTATTGAACATTAGGAGACTTAAAAAATAATGTTTTTAACTTCATTTAATCAAGTTCACTAGGATTTTTACCATGAAATCTTGAAGTCAAGCATTATCTTTATAAAGGTGAATGAACTCTTTGTCTTTATAGTTTTAATATTTATTATTTTCTAGAAATTACAATAAGTATTACTATTCTACAACTACATCTGCAAGTTTAGATAATGACAATTCTATATTTTTAATTTTCTCAGTATATTCACAACATTTTTTTAAAGTAATAATTTCAATTTGACTACTCATAACCTTTACTTTATTTCCCATTCTTGTCATCATACTATTGATTTATTCAATATTTTATTTTCTAGTTTCTTTGATAAAAGTCATTAAACCTAATTCTAATTAATCTAATAAAGATCTGACTGATGTTTCTTCTTCTTAAATTGGAATATTAAACTATAATAATAACCCATTCAATTATTCTTTATAACTCTCAATTTCTTGATAAAAACTCTAATTTTATTTTTATGATTATTCAAACTTTTATTTTAGTTTCATATAATCTTTCTTTAAGTTTTCATTTTATTGCTTCAATTAATCCATAGTTTATCTGTTATTAATAGTCATATTAGTATTGGTAGTAGTCACATTTTATTATTTTACATCATAATTCGTATTAGTAATATTGCGTTACTTTTATCTTAAAACATCATGAAAAGTAACATATTTGCTAGATTTAGGATCATAGAATTATGGTAATTATTTATTTAAAGGAGATAGAGACTTAGTATATTTTTTTGATGTTAATGTTTAAGGTTGAAGATCAGATTATTTTTCATTTGCTTATTCATCAAATAAGTCAATATCATCTATTTATTAATTTCTTTTTTTGCATATTTCTGATTAATTATATATTTGTTCTGATCTACAATGACAATTTTCTAATTATATAGCATTTGTATTTACTCTCAACTACATTTAATACTTTTAATTGCAATCCTTCAAAAACAGGATTTCCAAATAAATTTATTATATTGATTTTCGATTAAGTTTCTAGATAATGTACTTCAGCTACATTTTTTAAGTCATTACACTCTAAATCCACTTCAATCAACTAGGGTAAGTTTTTAAGTTATTCAATTGTTTTAATCTACAATATCCTTATCTTACTTACTTTATTATTCTTCAAAAATAGATGAGTTAATTGGGTCAAATTACTAAACCAATGAACACTTTGTAATAAATTGTTGGATAAATCAATCTACTTCAAATTTTTGAGATGAGAGATATCTAATAATTATCCTAAGTTTTCAATACTTGATAAATTTTGAATTAAATTATTATTGATTTCCAATGTTATAAGTGATGAGGGTAATAACCACATTTATTCAATATTATTGAATGACAAATTTAGATGCTAAACTTTGATCTATTAAATATAGGATTACTCTCCCTTGAAATTGTTGCCTTATAAATTTATAATTATCTTTATGAGAATAGGATATGTATTTACATAATTATTTAGATTTAAAGACTAATCTAATATTTCAAGGTTCTTAAAGGATAGATCAATACTCATTAAATGACACCAAATTTAAAATTTAAATAAAAATAAAATATAATCAAAGATTGAAAAGCTCTACTTATTCTTGATTATACTTTACTATCATTACAAAAAAATGATTTTACAATGAAATTTTCAACTATTTGTATATTTATAAAAATTGTAGCAAATCTATTTGTTTTTCATATATTGATTTAAGACATGATGATTTTTTATAGATACCTCAACAATTTTTACATATATTCATTTCTCTTATTTGTATATATTCATAATATTGAGTAATGAAATAGTTTTCCTCAGATACAATGTTCATTATTGTTATAATTTTTATTTAAAATATTCTTATAACACTTCTTCATAACGTTTTGGTTTTTCATATTTGGACTATCTATTACTTATACTTCCCTTTAAACCTTCAAGTTTTAATTTGATTCTGGCATTCTCTTTTTTGATATCTTCCCCTTCCTAATTTCTTTTCTTTAATTTCGGTAAAGAAATACTCGTCTTATCAATTGATGGACTACTTTAATGAATTTTCTCTATTGTTTATTTTATTTTTTAGTTTGAAATTGCCAATTATTGTTTATATTGTATTTGTTCAAAATGATTGACTCTTTATTTATACAGTTTCATAGATTATGCTTCAATAAATATAATTGATTACATAATTTGACTAAAACTTTTGATTCTTACATATTTTGATTCTTTCTACCCTTAATTGCTTTTAATGCATTCATATGTCCAAGAAAGTAAGCTTAATACATACTATCATTTAATTAATTTGTTTGTTTCATATATAAGAAATGAATTTTAATATTAATTATTTTAGAATGGGCAAAGTTTTTGATGGAATATACATTTATTAGATTTATTCTGAATCAAAGTATCCTATCAAATCCCTATTTCTACTATCAGTATGCAAAACCAAATTCTTTTTGTATGGATGTTCATCTTCAGTTTAGATTCTTTCATAATTCCTGCCATATTAAGCACAAATATCACATTCAGATGATTATAATTTAAATGCTAACTTACCTCCAATCATTTTCATTTTGATATAATTTCTTTCCATTTTTTATCTGAAAATTTCCAAATTGAAATCATCTGATGAAGGACTCTTATGTCTCGATTCCAATGTTCTTCTATGATACATAGCAATTTATTGTATGCCTATATTTTTGATATGATCATTCTATTACAATATTCCATCAAGATATCTATTCATAAATATAACAGACATTTCCATATCTTAAATTCCATTGTATCCCTTTGAAATCAAATAGTAAGATTTCGATTCATACTCTTAATCTGAATAATACCAACTTAACTTTAATAACTTTTTACCTATTACTAATAATTTTTCAAATTATTTTAATCTATTTAAAAGCAATCCAATTCTATAATATACCATCATTTTACATTAAAATAATTAATGTTTATTTGCTGTATCATTCATGTATTTATATTATGTCAAAGCTCCTTTAGTATGTCCATAAGTTTCTTGAATTATTGCTATAAGAAAAGTAAATAGTAATCCCAAAGAGACACATTAAGATTTGCATTTATTTTAGAGAACAATTAAATAGATTTCTAATCGATCATAATCAGATCCTAACATATTCATTAAATCAATAGTAAGATTGAGTATATCTTGAGCTTAGGTTGAATTATGTTTTAATGCTATAGCTAATTTATCAAGTTCAAAGACAACAGAATTAAGTAAGATTTTAGTTGATTATTTAATAGATTAATTTTCAAGCATATTATTTGGTTATGACATTTTCATAGGTGATCTGTTAAATCGTATTTAATGAGTACTTTTTTTAAGTCTACTTTTAATGAAATAATTAGATTCTAAACGAGGAAGAGTAGCATCAGTTGTAGTATTAATTGTAGTAGAATTTATTGATTTTATTGAGAGATTCGAGATAATTCTTTTCCTATCTGAATCCGTAGAAAATCTTGTATTTTTTCGCATAAATTTTATTATAATTTATATATCAATAATATTTAGTAATAAAGTATATTATTTTCAAGGTGAAAAATTCTCCCAAGGGGAAATATCTACATTGATAGCTTTTTCAAAATTAGTTGTTCTATTTATCTTTTTGTAATTTCTTTGCTTTGGTTTTGCAGTTCTAGATTTTAAATCCATTTTCAATGTTGCACCTTAACAAAGCATAATGTTTTAGGTGAATCGCTCATCTGTAGAATAGAGCATAGAATGTCTACGACCTACTTCTTTTAAACGCTAGCAGTATGGCGAGGCCTTTTTAGTGAAAAGAAAAGTTCGATTCAGGTCCCTTGTAAGAAGTGGGAGCATCATCTATTCGTTACTTTACATATTATTTAAATCAATAATATAGAGTTTCGTTTTTGTTCAAATTGAACTGTACATTGGAGCTTTTTTTCTTACTTTCTTTGCGTGTATCATTTGAGACATTAGCACCCTTGCTATTGAAGATAGTATTATGGTATGTATGTTTGAGTAATTCTTTCTCAGCCTAATCAAAAGTGTGTAACATATCCTAATAAGCAAACACGATTTTTCTCCATATTCTATCCTTTAAGTAGCCTAATCATAACCATACCTATATTGATTCACCAGTTGATGACATTCTCCTTTTCCAATACATCACAAAAACAAAGCACAATGATATAATCAAAATGTATTTAAAGATCGAAGATTGTTCATTGCTCTCCATTTACTGTTAATATTAATGATTTTAATATCTGCTAAACAAAATGATTCTCCTTTAAACTAAAACACCTTCTAATATAACTAAACTTTTTAATAACAAAAGAACAATGCAATAATCAAAATCCATAATGATCATTACCTAATGATTAAAAATTAGAAGCCTAAATTTTATTTACTAAAGTTAGAATTTGTTTGTTCAAAGAAAGTCGAAAATACTTTACAAATGCAAATATATTAGAAAGAAATTTGGATCAGAACAACTAGAATGAAATTTATAGAGAATTTATAATTCTAATATAGAATATTGTTAAATTACATATTTCTTGAGTAGATAATAATAATGTACTAATAAATTATAATTAGATATAGTTATTATTTTATTTAGCTCCATCTTAATCTTTAGCTCATTCATAAAAAATAAGTAGATACAGAACAGCAAAATTCAATTATATTTAAGTAATTGAAGATGGCTATTCAATATATTCATTAAAAAATAGATAGATATCTTTTAGGGATAACATATTGTAAAAAATTCTATCCCAAATAGTTTTAATTGATTTTTCATTTGCAATTCAGACCTACAAATTATTATAAAATTTAATGAAGAACTTCTAATTAAATATCTTTAGAGTTGCAAATTAAATAATCATAATATCTTTTAAGGGCATCTAGTCTCTTATTATATTAACTATTTATTTGAGAATTCCTAAAAAACAATAACATATTAAATTCCATCTATGAAACATTATATATATATTCAATTAGAATGTGAAAAAGAATATGTATTGCTTACAAAGTATTAACATTAATACAATTACTTATTATTGAATAATTATTTATTAATATAATTATATATAAAATAAATATGAATCTTCTCTTTAGATAGGTTGTCAATCCAAACAATCCAAAAATAGTGGCCATTGCAAAAAACTATGTTAAACATGTAAAAGAAATGGGTGGTGATGAACCACCAAAAGAGCCTGTCATATTTTAAAAACCTTTTACTTCTTTATTATACCTTCCAGATGGAAATGGCATTCTCTAATTGCCTAAACATAATCATGAAATTCATCATGAAATTGAAGTATTTCTATTTATATTTGTTAGCTTGGATTTATGGTTGCTAAGAATGGCAAGAATATATAAAAAGAGAAATGGTAAGAATATATTGGTGGTTATTTTTTGGCATTAGATTTGACTGATAGAGAGATGCAAGCTCATTTTAAGAAGCAAGGATTTCCATGGGATTTAGCTAAGGGTTAAGACAATTTTTTCCCAATTACAGATTTAATTACAAAAGACAAGGTTAAAGATCCTAATAATCTTTAATTGGAATTGAAAATAAACTAAAAAGTTGTATAAAATGATTCTACTTCTTCAATGTATTACAAAATTCCAGATTTATTGGCTTACATTTCATAATTTATGACTTTGAGACCAGGAGATTTAGTATTGACTGGTACACCTCATGGAGTAGGTCCAATTAGAGCTAAAGATAATTTACATGGTACATTAAAATAAGGAGATGAAACTTTGGCAAAACTTAATTTAATAGTGGAATGAGGATTTCTTGAAATTCATTTACAACTATGAGTTAAATAAAAATATTAAATGAAATAAGATTAGTTTTCTTCAACAAGAGTTCAATTTGTGCATTCTAACAAATTATGTACTGCTTAAGTTCTAGAGCATTTTCATAATAGTCCATTTCCAAAGGATCAAGATTAAGTTACACAATTTATATAAAACTATAAGGTAAATGTTTTTAATTTATTCAGACAGCCATAAATTCTAGAAAATTATCAAGAGCTATAAAATGATCCTTTATTTTCAGTCTAATTTGATGAAACATAATTATATTTTGGATTGATTGTAAATGATTTGAAATAAGGAGTTGGTGTTTATTATAAAAAAGGAAAATACATATTTGAAGGAGATTGGCAATAGAATTAAAAAAATGGAAGGGGAATTGAATTATTTATTAATGGATCCTATTATGAAGGATAATATATCAATGGTAAACCTTCTGGAATGGGAAGATTTTATTGGAGTAATGGAGAATTTTATGAAGGTTAATGGTTTAACGGTAAAAAACATGGTTCTGGAATTTGGAAAGGTTCTAAAGGAGATTCTTATATAGGAGAATGGAAAATGGGTGTTCCTGATGGATATGGAGTTCATTTATGGATTAATGGTGATCGATATGAAGGAGAATTTAAGAATTGTTTAAAGGATGGACGAGGAACTGAGAAATTTGCAAATGGAGATACTTACATTGGAGAATATTTAGCAGGAAAACCTAATGGAATGGGAGAATACTATTGGGCTAATGGTGCTGTGTATAAAGGAGAATTTAGAGATAGTTTAAGACATGGAAAAGGAGTTTGGAAGAGAGGGAATGGACTTGGAGATTCATATAATGGAGAATATGAAAATGATTTGAAATAAGGTTATGGTGTATATAGTTGGGCAGATGGTAATAAATATGAAGGATACTTTAAAAATGATTTGAGAGATGGATTTGGTACAATGTATTGGCATGATGGTACATTTTATAAAGGATAATGGAAGTAGGGAATATAAGATGGAGAAGGAATATTATCAGTTAATTAGGAAGTAATTAGGGGAGTATTTTATGGAACAAAAGCTTTGGAAGTGATTGAGAATTCAAATTTTCGAAAAACTCATTTTAGAAATAATACATATTCAGTGGATTAATCAAGTCGATAAACAGGAAGAGATTAATCAAGAATTGATTAAATTTACTAACAAAGGAAGAATTCAACAGAAACAAGTACTAAAATGAATTCATTTACTCAGACTTAAAGAGAATATGGTTCTTCTCATAAAATAATAGTTAATAATAATTCAGAACCAAAGAGAATTGGTCGTATTACTTAATCTAAGTTATTGCATAATAAATATAAGCCAATATTCCCAAAAATGCAATAAATTTAACAATAAAAGAATTCAAATCAAACTGATAAAAAAATTTAAGAATAAAAATAATTATGGAAGCCAAGTGGTGTAGTGAAAAATGTTAAATTTTGATCAATTATATAATCATCACTTTTTAGACTATTGTAATTTTTTATCTTCTAAAATCTTCTTTAAGAATTATGGAATGCGTTATTAATTTTGCTCCAAAGTTCTTAACATTATGTACTAAATACTTTTTGAATTCAATAATCATTTTCTATCCTCTTAATAAATCTCTTAATATTTCTGATCTCTGTTTATATTCAATACTTCTTTAAACATCTTATGGTAATTAACTTTCAAATGGGTTATATTAAGCAGTTCCTTTATGCATGTTTTTGTAGAAGTGTAATGGATCTAATCTAAAAGACTCATATAACCTGTATAAGATTCTTAAGTCATAGTAACTTTTGGAATATATCTCTAATCATAAGGAATGTACCATTTATCATAATACTGTTTATCATCTAATTTAAGATAAGGAAGAGATGGCTACTTAGTTCGAATAACTTTTGGACGTACTTTAATGTTCTGCTTCTATTCTTATTAAATGTATACGAAAATTACTTAAGGTAGGTTTTTAATCTGGCTCTGTCATTTATAATTCACTTTGTTACATTCTTCTTTGAATAGATCTTTAAGCATTAAGATCCAACTAAGTTAAAAAATCTGGTCCTTCTGATTTCAAGCGTTTTGATAAAAGAAAAGGAGGAGATATTGATTAGAAATGACTTGAGATAGTTGATTTTTACATTATCAATTATATAAATAGATTAATAATAATCAATAATTCAATAATAAATCAACGTGGTATAATTTAACTATAGTTGGATAAGTAAATACACATTTCAATACTTTATTCCTATCCTTAACATATTTCTTCCAAACTCTTTCCTTTTGTTTCTGGAATTAGAAATGTAAATCCCAAACCAATCAACATAAAAAAAGCAAATGTTAACATAATAGCTTTAAAATTTTCTGCTCCTAATCCCAAAAACCAAACTTAAGAGATAATTGCTCCTAATTTACCAGCAGCAGCTGATATTCCATGACAAGTAGAACGATATCTAGTTGGAAATACTTCTCCTGGTATAATAAATGTAGTAGCATTTGGACCAAAATTATTGAAAAGATTTGCTAATGTATATAGAGTAATAAATAAAAATTAACCTAATATATCTTTACATAAACCCATTAATAAAAATAAAATTGTTAATGCTACAAATCCCATTATTTATATAGTCTTTCTTCCCCATTTATCAACAAAAAGAACAGTCAACCAATATCCAGGAACTGTTCCTAAAGCTGAAGTAATCAAATTTCCATAAATTGCCTATTTCAAAATCTCATATTAACTTAAATTGGATCCTCCTCCAAATCCTATCTATTTTAAAATTGTTGATTAATTTAAATTTATTCCATAAAATCCAACATCCAAAGCAAACCAAGCCATAGCAGTTCCTAATAACACTTTTCCATGATCCCATTTTGTTAGATAATATTTTAATTCTCTAAATGTTGGCTTCTATTCTTTTTATTTTTTTTCATCTTAATTTGAATCAACATATACTGTATCATCTTACTTCAAAACTTATTCAATATTTCTAGCTCCTTTTTCTACATCTCCTTTTATTTCCATAGTAAATCTTGGAGTTTCAGGAATAGTCATACGAAAATATATTGCAACTAAACCTGGAATTGCACCAAATCCTATTATTATCCTCCAAATATTATCAATCTAAAGATAATTTAATGGATCTCCATTATTTAATTTACTGCTAAATGATAATAGTACTATTAAGGAAACTATACTCCCTGTCAAAATACCAAAACCTTACATTGCAAATACAGCTGCAATCATTGCTCCTCTATTTTTAGTATTTGCAAATTCAGATGTTATTATTGCAGATAATGGGTAGTCTCCTCCAATACCTATACCTAAGAAAAATCTCCAAATAATAAGCATTCCTACTACAGTCAATCCATTAGGTGAAGCAGTGTTTGATGCAAATGCAGAAGTAATTGTTGTAAAAACTATAATTAACAATTCTGTTCCATACATTTTCTTTCTTCCTAATATATCTGCTAAATATCCAAATAATAACTATCCAATCAAAGTTCCAATCAATGCAGATTACTTCAATAGAGTTTCAGATACAGGATATAACTTATCAGCTTTTTTTATTATAGTATCTCCATCTCGTATTTCTTCATGATAATAAACCATTCCTATCATTATTACAGCTAATTGTATTATGAATAAATCATAAGCATCTGTAAAAAATCCTATTCCAGAAACCAAACATGCTTTTATATGGAACCATCCAAATTTTGCGTTATTTAATGCATCTAAAGCTCCTTATTTTTCTAACAAACGATCCTTCTACATTGCAATTATTATAAAGAGTAGTCATTCTTGAATATATTTTAATTCTAATTTGATAATATGTCATATGACTCAAATTTGATTATCGTATTGATATTTCATCTTATAAATCTCTTATTAATTATTTAGTATTTAAAATACTATTAAGTATTTCTAAATTTAGATTGTTTAATAACATATGCAATATTCATGTAAAATTGAATAATTAAAAAAAATTAATAAGATTAAAATAATAAAAATTTATTCTGAATATCATTAAAATAATTGTAAAGTATAATTATAACAATAGGAATAATGAATTAATGGATTAAATTAAATTAATGTATGATTAAAAATTACTATATCATCATCATGTGAGGAATGTATAAAATTCCTTATGAAAATGAGAGAAAAGGTATGCAAGAAGGATAGCTAAATAATATTTGCTAAATCTTATATTTTCTCGTTTATTTAAGTTAAGAATGCAAAAATAATTATTAATCATATAAATATTTTTAAATTATCTTTAAACATCAGCAATAATGAGAAATTTTCTTTTTCAAGTTAAAGACTTTTACATTCAACAATTTCTCACTGTCAAAGGAATATGGAGGAAATCTCTTGAACTCTCAATAGGGTTTTTGATTGTCGAAAACATCTAGTTGTTATCCTTGATTACTCAAACATTACCTATCATTAATAAAGCCGAATATTTAGACTTCATCCATTATATTTTGAATATATTTCGGTTTAATACTTAATTTATATTCATAGATTCTATAGTGTTTTTGGAGAGTATATTGAGACTCACATTTTTTACATGTTAATAGGATTCACAATGACCTTTTTAACCTTTATATGCTTAGTAATTTTGATCTTAAATACTTCAGTTAGAATCAATTAAAATGGATAAATAATTGAGATGACACTTGAAATTGTATTATTTTCCTAAATTTAATTTAGAAAAGATAAAAAGAAATAGAGTAAAATATTATAATCAAATAATTCATCTCAGTTTATATGCAAATTTATTAAATGTTAATGAGAATTCCTTTATTATATTCTCACTTTCACATTGTGAATTTTTATTAAAAAACAAGTATTAATTGTTTATATTAGATTCACTTAACTAGTTCTTGCTATTTGGTGTTAGTATTTGCATGTTTTCAATAGCTCTTCAATTAATTTTTAGTTTAGTTATTGATTTACATTGTTTTGAATTTAAAATGAAAAACCAAGATTATTTAGGAAGATTTAATTAACAAAAAGTGCATTTAGTTTTTGCATTTTAAACAACTATAGTCATATTAATAGGATTAGAAATAAACACTATAATAGTTCAAGTGTTTTATATGATATATTTATTGATGAGTGTTATTATGAGTTACCATTAACTTATTTATGTAGAAGTTTAAATATCACAATTATAATTTCATATATCAAGCTATTTGCTATTATATTAAATAACACTTTTAGTAGTTCAACTTACTGATGTAATAGAAAATTTAAATGTTTTGGGATTTCTATTGTTCTTTTATCCATTCATTGCTTATATTCTCAAAATAATAACCGAAAGATAAAAGATATCTTAATTAAAATCTTCTGGAAATTCATTAGAAAAATAAATTAGATTTATATATCATTTATTTAAAAAATAGATTAAATTAAAGAAAGAGTAGAGATCTTTGGATCCTATGGAATCATTGTTTATGTACTCGTTTATAACAAATCACTTGAGATATTGTTCATTAAATAGAGAAAGAAAATTATAAAAGTAAATAAAAATGAAATTCAAATGTTTTTGTGAAGAATTTTCAGAAAAGGAAAACTTTTAATTTAATTCTATAACATAGATGAAGATATTTGCTAAGGAATTAATATCATAGACATTAGAAGATGAAATTATAGAAACATCAAATACATACTTAGCATTGATTTACATATACTTTTTAGTATAAGTTAAGAAATTACCAACTTAAGCAATATATGAAGTAATTAGATTGTCAATATAAACATAAGTATATATTTATTATTAATAAAGGGAATGGCACTTAAGGAATAGGCAATTATTTATAAATTAAAATATGATGCTTTGGAAGAATTTGATCAATTAGTAAAAAAGAATGATCTAAAAAATTAAAAGTATATTTTTAAAAGAGTATATTAATATGAAGAATCCCTTTCAATAATCAAATAAAATATGTGTTTAATTGCAAAATAATTTAAAGTAATAGTATTTTTTATTAATCCTTAGGAATGGTATGGATTGATTTTAACATCTATAATTGATATTGATTAGTTGATAACAATTGGATTTGAGATTTTAAGAAATATTAAAGCTGTTGAGTCTCAATTACAATAAGCATTTACTATAAATCCACTTTCTAATGAATGTGACACCATCTATAATCTGTTCACTAAATATATATAATATAACAAGAGCAGACCTAAACTATATCGATTGGAAGGAAAATTGGTGACATTATTTATGTAATCAATTGAAAAAACAATATTTGATCCTGGTAGTTGTGTGATTTAGATCACTTTATTGTAGCCTAGAGGAAATGTACTAAGATACACAAGATCATTTTAGTAAGCAATTGGTTTTAAGGATGAAGAGATTAAAGATTAGAATATACATAGATTCATGCCTCAAATAATAGCTGATGATCATGATATGTATTTAGATAATTTTGTAGAGAGAGGAAGAATTATAGTGGTAAGATCTGAAGTTAGAGTTATATTGGGTAAAAATAAAGGATAATTTCTTGTACCTATTAATACTAGATTAAGAATTGAAACAAGTCCAACTGAATTTGGTGCTACTGCACTTATTACACCTGTTAATCTAACTTTTGGATATATGATTTTAAATGATAAAGGATAAATTGAAGAAATTACTTAAAATATTTTTGAAGAAATGTTTTAAAAGCATTTAGGAATATAAATATCATAAGTAAGAGGATTGGATTGCTTATTTTTTGTACCTGAATTAGCTAAAATTTGGGAAGATATTTATGATTAACATTTTGATAAATTAGATAGAAAATTTGAATGTTAATTCATCATTCCATTACTTAATTAAAATAAAAGCATGTCATAATCATAATTATCAAAGAGTTTGTCCAAATTATATTTTTAGAAATAAATTTATAAGAATTTTGAAAATCAACCTACTGAAAATGTTATTTTTCTTGTTTAATTACATGTTATGAGTTTAGTTACTATCAATTTAAGGTATTAATACAATTTAATTATTTAGATTAGTGATTTTAGAATTATAAGATTATAGATTGATGCCAAATTAAAAGATTTCAAGTAAATAAATAATATAGTTAAGGGTGAGAACATCAAAATAATTTAATGTTTAATAATTACAAAACTCTACAAGTTATAGAGAACAAGCAAGTTTATTAAATTCCCCTTGGGTATTAGATTGTGATTTAGATCATGGTTTACTACAAGAGGAAGAAAGGATGATTGATGAGGTTAAAAACTAATTAGCAACAGTTAATATAACTAATACAACTCATCATTAATAAGTTTAATTAATATAATATGCTGAAGAGGAAATTGAAAGTCTTTAAGAATAAAATTAAAATATTCCTAAAGAAGCTTAACCTTCAATCAAGATTGATGAAAAAAAGAGGAGTTAATTAAATAAAGTTGATAATTAAAATAATATGTCAGTTGGTAGTAGATCATCATAAAATAATCAATCATAACTTAAAAGATAAATGCGAGATTGCTTAAGTGAAAATTAAACAATAAATAAAAAACAAGCATTTGTCTTACTTATATTTTATTTATTGATAATAGGAGCTTACATTCTTAATTGCTTACTTTTCTCTTCAAATTATTAGAAGATTTAGGAAAATCAATCTAGTCAGAATTTGCCTTATTAATTATCTTATTTTTATAATGAATTTGTGATTTCCTCCTTTTATTTAAAATATAGTTTATTATTTCCATTTTCAGATTTACAATAAATTAGTTTAGATTTTTATTAAAATTAAATAAAAAATATAGATGATGCTTTGAAGAATATTCCAGAAATAGAAATCAATGTTGATAATTCATTAAAACAACAATCAATACATATTATATAATAGATGATAAATCAGAAAACTAATTAATTATTTAATTACGATGCCTTTTTGAATAATACATAATATTTTGAAAATATAGTTTAAACTTTATATGAAGCAGATACAACTAGAAATATTACAAATATCTAATATATGTAAATAATTTATAATATTTATGAATATTATTTTTAGAGTTATAGCTGAAGAATTAGTTCTAGTTTTATTTATCTGTTGGTATGCATACAAGTGCATCATACTTATACAGATGAAATAAAAAGTATACAAATTGTTTTGCACATTCACTACTGATGTGATATAAGAACAATATGTAACCTTTTCTTCATTATATTCACTTATGAGCACAACCAAATTCAAAAAGGAAGAAACAAATGAGGAAAAATTTGAAATGATTATGGGATAAGCTTTTCATAAATAGACTAACAATTCTATTTTAGAAAAATATTAGAAAGTAGGAAAAAGAATTAAATAAAATAGTATATCTTTATTTTATTTTAAATTAGAAAATAATTCAACTCAAATAATCTTTTTCTTATTTGTTTTGATAATGATAATAGTTTGCTCAATATATTTTATAGGAAGCAATTTAATGCATTAAGCAACTATAAATAAGATAATCATCTAATTTAATGATAAGATATTGTTTTAATAGGCATATTATGAGATTACTTTAGCATATGCATAATCATCAGTTTTCATTCAAAGATAAATTACCAGTGAAATTTTAGCAATTTAAAATAAAACTGTTAATGAATTGAATGATCTAAGAAAGAAATTGTCATTATATCAATAGGATTAAACAATATATAAAATTGTAACAAAATCTGCATGTAATATTTTCAATAATTCGTTGTAATTAATTTATTTTTTATAATCATTAGAACGAGTTTTTAGTAATATGATGAATTATTTTCATATGAGCAATGTATGAGTTACCCCATTTTATAGGGAGGATTAAGTGTGATTTTTGCAGATTTATGTGATTAACAATTGAGATTTTTGTAGGATTTAGAAAATAATGCTTCTTAGGAATATCTGTAGTAAAATTATTATTCTGCTACATCTTAAATCGAACGACTTTATGATTCAATGGGTTTTTTTGTTATTGTCTCAACCCTAACTAATCAAATATAGAAATCAGTTTAAGACAATATTACCATAGATATAATTTTGGTAATATTTTCTGCTGTACTGATGACAATTTCAATGATAACAATGGTTATTTCAATGAGAAATATTCGATTGCATTATTAAACAAGCAAATAATTGCTAACTCTAGTTCCTTTAGAAAGATTACTCGAAAATGCTTATATTTTAAGCTTTATTTAATAAGATATTAAACTTCAAAATTGATCATGTAATATATTTATATATCTTTTTATTTGCGAATATTCAATTTTATTTAATCAATACTTTCTTGTAATTAAATATTCAATGTTCCTAGCAATTTATGGTTCCCATTTATCACCATTCTCTAAAAGTTTAAATTTGTCATAGAATAAATCTTCATGTTGATATGTAGTATATTCATAATTTGGACCCTTTTTTAGAATAATAATAATTACTTCCACAATAGCATCAACTGGACATGCTTCTTGACAAAATCCACAATATATGCACTTTGTCATATCAATATCATATCTCACAGTACGTCTGAAACATAAATGAATAAATATACCTTGAATTATCAGGTCTTGGTTCTGTTTCTATTGTAATAGCTCTTGCTGGACAAGCACTCTAACATAATTTGCATGCTATGCATCTAAATTTTATAATATATCTGTAATACCTTTCTTCTCCTGTTGGATATCTTCTTAATGCATGTTCTCCTCTAAACAATGGTGAAAGAGGACCCTTTTCATATGGATAATTGATGGTCCATTCAGGCTCGAAACAATAAAGAACACCACAAAACCAAAAATGATATAGGTATTCTGGTTATGTAAAATTTTAATATGCTGTTTCCCATACATCTGTCCAATCCAATTCATCTGGCATAAATTTGCCTAAACAATTTCACACTACTAACATACCTTGATAGTAGTGCATTTAAACATTGTTTTCTTAATCTTTATCAAAATCAAGAATGCTTGAATTGAATTAGGGAGTAGCAAATTTGCTATTTGGATCTTATGAATTAGCAACATGATAGTTTACAGAATTCTTAATATAAACTAATTATTCAACTTTTTTCATTACCACAAAATCGTGCTTATCTTGATTTCAAAAGCAATTTAGTCAGCATTAATTATTATATAAAATAATATTTTTTTTATAAAACCTTTATTTATTGATCATCTATTTGAAAACACTATCAATATGTTTTACCTTCTAATCTTTCGATCATATTGATTCAAATTTAAGATTCTATGAGGTATATATAGGATTTTAAGTTGGGGGCATTGTTTATCTATAGATAGAAAATATAAATTATTTTTAAGGTATTATAATTATTATTAAATGATTTAAAATTCAAGGTTTATGAGGATTCATGCAGCTAAGTAGGGAAATATGACTTATCAGAATTTATGATATATAATTATTTTATATAAAGTTCTAGAATCTTCTTTGAATATTTAACTTCCTCTCTGGTTTTAAATTAATATAATAATCCATAAATACACAATCATGTCAAAAAAAGAACAAGACTATTATGAGGTTTTGGGAGTTAGTAAAACAGCTACTGATGATGAAATCAAAAAGGCTTATAGAAAATTAGCAATCAAATGGCATCCAGTATATTTTTCGAATAATATTTTAAGGATAAAAACCCCAATAATAAATAAGAAGCTTAAGAAAAGTTTAAAAAAATTGGAGAAGCTTATTCTGTATTATCTGATAAAGATAAAAGAGCTATTTATGATAGATATGGTCATGACGGGTATGCCAATATAAATTTATTTTGTTAGTTTAAAAAATGGAGGTGGTGCTAATCAATTTTAGGGATTTCAAGGTTTTGGCGGTTTTGGAGAAGGATTCGATCCCTTCAAATAATTTGAAAGTTTCTTTTAAAATTTTGGAATGGACGATGATGATTTTGGGTTTTTCTTTGGAAGAAGTGGAAGCAAAAAAAATAGTAACAACTCTTAAAGAAGTCCGTTTGGATTTGGAGGCTTTGGAGGATTTGGAGGCTTTGGTGATGATGACTTCATGGGAATGGGAGGTGGTTAATTCTAATCATTTTCATCTTCAAATTTCGGAGGTGGATTTGGAGGATCTACATCAATGTCTACTTCAACAACAATACAGTATGAATTAATCATTTATAAAATAGAAATGGTCGTAAAGTTACAGTAACAAGAAGGACAACAACAAAAGCAGATGGAACCACCGAAGTAGTTGAAACTATTGATAATGGAGGAAGAAAAGAAGAGAAAAGATATTCATTAGAAAATGGATAGAAAACTAATGGATCCAAATATATCAAACATCAATGACTTATAAATTTTATATTCTCGTATCATTTAATTATTTTCTATTATATATTAAATAATTTATATAATAATTGATAAAATAACATAAAGTATTTTTTTTAGGATTTTATGTTAATACCTCTCAATATAATATGAAATGAAGATAAAATGAAAAATAAAGAAAACAACAGTTAAATTAAATTTATCTTATAATTTAATTATTCCTTCGTACTTTAGTAAATACATTGAATGAATATTCATAGATATATAGATTTATTCTATTTAATTATTATTAGGGATAATCAATGATTAATTTAAGGAGAAATAGAAAAGTAATATGATCGAAATTAGAATATATACTATTTATAATAATTATTATTATTAATTTCTTTATTCTCTAATAATCCTCAATCAATAAAGTGTTGAAATTCTAAATAATATTATTTTTTGTTAAGTAATTGATAATTTGAATTTTCAATAATTAACAAATATAGTTTATAATATAAATTATATGCAATAAAAAACTCAAAGCGATTCAGAACAATCACATAAAGTTTAGTAATTCATGATTACAGATGAGCAGATAGGTGAAATTCATGATTTTGTCAATAATTCTCTATCTGATGCCTACTATCCTATTTCACAATAAAGAGGTTAAAAATAATCAGAGCCAACTCCTTTGTCTAATGAAGAATTGAGAAGCTAACGAATGAGTATTGATAGTCCGGAAGCCAGATTAATTTTATAATCATCTAGTAGGCAATAAAAAGATGAACCTTAGCATTAATTAACATTATTTTAATCTTGGAATGCAATCAAATTTATAAGAAGAATTAGTGAACGAAAAAGAATAAACACAAAATTTAGTCAATATTAATACGATTTATTAAATGATAAAGGATCATCATTCGATTTAAAATTATTTAAGGAAAGTAGTTTACATTTTAAGCCAATGCACAGAGGTTTAAGAAGATCAAATTAAGTAGAGCAGATCTAAAAGCCTTCAGCAATATAATAAGTAAAAAGCTACCTCATTAATTAAAAATAAAATATTAAACAATTCTTTAACAGAATTGAACAATAACTTTCAAAAATTCCATTAATAACCCCTGAATCAAGATGGAAATTGATTTGGGATTGTTTTGTAGCATGTTCCAGATTATATTTCATGTATGTAATTCCAATAGATTTGGGTTGGACAGAAATTCCAGTGATTTATGGTTAGTTATATCCAGTTTCAGTTTTTGCACTAATAATTTTATTATTAGATTATCTCATAAGCTTTAACAATTCTTTTTATTAATTTGGTTAAATAGCAAATTAAAGAGCAATAATAGCTAAACACGTAATTACAAAAAGTTATGGCTTGGAATCCATATCCTTATTAATTCTAAGTATTTATCTATTTAATTCTAATTCCAATTCAATCAATGTATTAGATAATTGGGCAGATGTTTTTATTTCTTTATTTTATGTATAAAGTAGAAATATTCCTAAATTGATTGCTTAAATAGAAGAAGTGCTCAATTTGTCTAAGCCTGTCTCATCTATGTTAGAGTTATTAAAATTGATATTGGTATTGTTTTTTGTTTTGCATTGTTACTCCTGTTTGTGGTTTTTTGTAAGTAATAAGAATAACTATATAATTTAGGTTGGAGAATATAGCCACAATCACTCAGTCTAGGGAAGTTGGTTAGAACTGTATCATATTGAACATGAAACCTTTGCTGTTTAGTATTTGTTTTCATTTTATTATTCTACAGTGACAATGTTCACAGTAGGATATGGAGATATTACACCAGTTAGTTATATAGAAAGAATTATATCTATATTCTATATGATGTTTTGCAGCATTTAATTAAGTTATAGTGTAAGTACAGTAGGCACAATCTTAGACAAGATATCAGCATATGAATAGGAAAAAATGAAAAAGGTTCATACAATAAATACTTATATGCAAAATAAAAAGATTGGATATGAACTATAGTATCAAGTAAGAGAATATTTGAATTACTATTGGTAATCACAAAGTCAGGTAGAATCACAAGATGAATAAAATATTATTAATTAACTATCTTAAAATCTTAGAGAATAATTAATGTTACAAGCAAATTCCATCATTTTAAATGAGTGTCCTTTATTTAAAAATCATTTTAGTGATCAATTAAAAAATAAATTAGTGAGATAGATAAAATAAACAGTCATTTAACCTGAAAATATAGTGGAATTCGATCAAATATTTCCAACTCTTCCTAATGGTTAAATCTTTATGTGTTTTATAGAACACGGAGAAGTTTAGATCTTAATTCAAAATGATTAGAAGGATTCAATTTATTCACATCAATAAGTATCTGTAATTAGTAAAGTGGGAAAGGGTAGTAGTTTGGGCATTTACAGTTTTATTAGTGGTCAAAAATCTAGAGAGAAATTTAGAAGTCTAGGTTTCACAAAATTGTTATTGTTATCCAGAGATGATTTCTTAAGAATTTTGCCTGATTATCCAGAAGATTATGAAAGATTTAGAAACATTCATGATGGGCTTCTATTTAATCAAGATTATATTTAACATATGAAATGTTTCTCATGTTAATCCTCAACTCACAGAGTCATGAATTGTCCACTTTTGCATTATGTTAGTGATAGAGAATTTATCATTAAAAAGCATTTATTTACAAAAGATCATGATAGATAAAATTTTAAAAGGAATATGAAAAGATTTATAAATTAATTTCATGCATTGGTTGATTAAGAAGAGATCTCTGATATTGCTCAATTTTATAGTAGCTGCAATTCGAAGTGGACTGAATTTTATGATGAACCTCCTGAAGAAGAAGATGAACCCAAAAGTTCTTAAATTAAAAAAATTGATGTTATAGTTGCATCCCCAGATTTAACTTAATCTCCAATTTAATATCATAGACCCTAACCAAGATTCAGTATTTTGAACAAGAGAGGGAGCACAATTGATGCTCTTGAATCTGAAGAATATAAACAAAAGTTGCCAATAATAGCAAGGGGAACTAAAAGAAGATAATCAAATATTCAATAACTCAAACCATTAGAAGCTAAATCATGTACTTCAAACACTAATTCAAGAAGATTAAGACCATCATGTACAATAGAATTTAGTCGATTTAGGCAAATTTAAGTCTTGTAAAGATTTCGCAAAATTGTTTAAATGGTTATTAAACTTAATGTTATGAAAAAAAAGAAATCTAGTAAGAAATCTTTGGCAAATAAATTCTTAGATATTCAATAATAGAATCAATAATTAAAATTGATCTTGGAAAAAGTGATTATCAGAATCAATTAAATTGATTAAGGAAAAAAGGAAATCCTGACTGATATAGATATTTAAAATGCCTTTTTGTTATCTACTAAAATTAATATGCTCATAACTTTGCAAGAGGAATACTTTGTAAATAAATCTAAAATATAATAAATGGATGCTTGCAAGGAGTTTTAATATTATTAACCTTAAAATAACTTCACTAGAGTTCTTGAGAAAGAGGACTTTTACTATTAGCAAAGAAAAATTTAACCTAATTTAGTTTAGCTTAGGAAAAAATTAGTGTAATATTTAATGTTCCCTTAGATGTATTTAGAAAAATATAAATATGTGAAATTATAATTAGTGAATTTGCTTACACAAAGATAATTTAGAGATGAAAATAATAAATCTTAAATTATGACTATGAGCAAAAGAAACAAATTTAGAGGTAAGACTTTTAGAGCACCAAAAGTTAATTAAATTCTTCCTAAATGATATATCTATCAATTGTAATATAAAAAATTATCAATAATTTTGATTTGCATATTCAATTCTTATATCATCAATTGGATGGGTTTCAGGAGTAGCTGTTTCATCTTCTTTATACATCTTAATAGATTTGTCACATTCTCCAGTCAAAAATCTACAATTAAAAAAGATATTACCTCATTTAACTTTGATCAAATGTACAACAAAATATACCATTTTCTGCAGCAATAGAACCAGGTTAAGCGATAGTATTAATCTATTAGAAATTATATCCTGATTTCCAATCCCAGAAATATAATGATCCATTGTCTGCAGCACTTGCCAAAACATTATTCCTATTAATAGCTATAGAATTGATCATAGCATTATGACCAGATAAATTCCTTAAAAATGTACCTTCAGGACATTTCCAAACTTTGAGATTATCAGATGCTGCTGAACAAAATGTATATTCTAATGGATGAAAAGCCATAGCTCTCACTGATTTCTTATGATTAGTTAAAGTGGATATGCATTTTCCTGAAGTCATATCCCATAGTTTAATCATTGAATCTTAAGATCCACTTACTATTTAAGGTTCAAATTCTTAACAAATGATTGAATCAATAGTATTAGTGTGTCCTTCTAAAACATGAATTTATTGTCTGGCTCTAATATCCCATACTCTACAGACGGAATCTCTTCCACCACTTACTAATACATCCAATGTTGGGTGCAAAGCCAAACTATAAACACCAGACAAATGTCCATGATAATCTCTGATCATCTTATTTTATTCTAAATCCCAGCATTTTACTGTTTTATCTTCTGCACAACTAAATAAATAAGGATGTCTTGCACTTACTATTACAGATCTTATTGTTGAAATATGACCTGTAAAAGTTAATTTTAAATTTCCTGTTGCCAAATCCCAAAACTTAATGGTTCGATCACTTGAACCTGTTACAAAAAATTAATTTCCAGGATCAACAGCTATACATCTAACCCATCCATGATGTCCACTTATAACTCTCATTAATTTCCAAGGGGCATGCCATTCTGGTTTTATTATTTTCTTTATTTTTTAAACCATTACTGTTCCTAATCGAGCTGGTTCAATCACAGATAATTGATGTTCATTTGGATTCACAGCAACTAAAGATTTATTTTATGCAATTTATTTTTCATTTTGAATATAAGTGTTAGTAGTTTGAGTGGCTGATGTTTTTTCATCAAATTTTAAAAATTATTGCGGTAATTTCTATAATTTAGTTTCTTTCTACTTATCTTTTTAATAATCTTCAATGATTTTGTCTATTTACCTTTTATTTTCAGGCTTTTTCTAATCTTTTATTTCAGTTTGTATATTCTCAAATTCCTAATGCAAAGAATCAGCCAACTCATTACTTTTAGTAACATTTGAGTATTCATAATTTACTTTTGTGTTTATTTTAAGTTTTAAAGTTTCATAAAATTCTGGCACTCCTTTACCTTATTAAGCTTAAAATAATTTTTTAGAACTCAAAACCAAATCTTCACAATTAGATTCCAAAGTTGGATAAAGAGCCCCAAATTCTTCAGTCATTATTTATCTAATAATTAAATATAATTAAAAAAATATAAATATAAGCAGATTATTGGAAATTTTATCTTTCGATAAGTTAAAAAGTATATGGGGATGTGTATTGGAATCAAATTTTCTTATGTTATCTATTTCATTTCTTGATGATTCATAGAGAAAATGTAATTGAAAACAAATAGTTATTTGAATAAAAACCATTAAGTTGTAAATTGATAAATTCTGATTGCAAGATCTCTTTTACTAAATTCAAGTTTATTTGCTCACCTATATTCATTTTATTACAATAAAATAATATAATAAATTATTTCTTGTTAATCTCATCAATATAGTGCGCATGCAAGGATTTTTGAATATCTCTGGAATTCAGTCTAATGAAAAGACTATGTTACTTGATATTTCAGCAATACCCTTAAAGGAAGATCACTTAGATGATGAACTAATACATTAATAGTTAATGATTTTACAATCTTAAGAAGCTATTAGAGAAAAAGACAATGATGAAGATATTACAAAAAATGCCAGATAACTGAAAAAAAAAGTAATTAGTTCTTTAGAAAATTATTCATTAATGCTAACTATCAAGGATAGTTCAATAAAGAAAGTCATTAAGAATGATTTATAGATAATCAATTAAGAATATTAAGAATTATTATCCGTTGTTGATGAGGTCGAATCTATTTCCAAAGAAGTTCAGATGATAATTAAGTTGGTAGGAGAGTTTTTAGAGAAAATGAGTGTTAAATCAAATGAAAATAGAGAAATATAGTACTCTAAAACTATGTCAGAAAAATTGTAGAGAGGTCCCATAAGAGCTAATACTTTTTAAGGTCATTCCTATGATTGGCACCAAAAATAAAGATTATTTCCATCATAACAATTATAATAATAACAACAACTCAGCAATAACTCTTATGAATCAGATGAAAGCACAGCTGTCTCAAATAAAACATTAAGTGCTTTAAATAATAAGATATATACTTTGATTTAAAAATTATAATAGAATGACCAGTATTAAAGAATAACTCATTATGCTTAAGAAATATTGAATAGCTCTGAAAATATGGAAACTTTTAAATTGCTACGATAATTATCTAAATAGTTTGAAGAACCAGAAGTTAAAAAAATAGTCAAAGCTTGTTATTTGAAATCTCTCATTTAGGAGTAAACTTAGAATAATACTTCTAAAAGAGAATTCTATGATTTAGTGATTAAAATTAAAAGTTAAGTCCCAGAAAATAATAAAATACATTCAATGATGATAAGCTCTTTATATGATGATGTAATACAAAAAGGAGTGCCAAATACTGAATGGGAAGCCTATATGAAATAATTATGCAATTGAATATAATACTTTTATTAATAATATCAAGATCCTTAATTTCTTAATAGATGATATTTATAAAATATTTAAATCAATATAGCCTAAGAATAAGGTTGATCAAAAATAATGCTACAATTAATAAAATTTTGTTTGCTCATTATTAATTAAAAATATTAATTATTTAAATTATGGCATCTATCAATTATTTAACTTTAAGGCCTGAATAAGCTTATAAAATTTATGATGGTACACTAACTCCATGAATAAATTTAGACTACGTTAAGGAAGGAAAGAATAATGATGCTTTATTGATCCTATTTCGATATTTATCTAGTTTTGGTTAAAGAACCAGAAAAACTACAACTTCCTATCAAGATTAAGGAGATGTGAGTGTGGCAAGCAATATTTAGTATCTTTATAAATTGATGGTAAAATTAATTAAGAATTCTTTAGCAAGCATATATTGATTTAAGATTATTTGTTGGAGTCAATTAACCTGATGAATAAAATTAGTTAAAGGAAGTTTTTAAGGCTTATAGGCAAATGACTTAACATAATCACTTTGATGCTTTCGCTGATATTTTGAAAGAATATCTAGTAAAAGTAGAAAAGATTTTTAGCGATAAAGTTAAATAATATGATGTTGAAGAAGTATCAAATTTATAGATTTTTATAGCTTAAGAAATTACCATTTGTTGGACAATTATCCTATGAAGAGCCAGCTGAAGAGTTGCTCTATCTATCATTCGATCCTGAAGCAAAATAACAGAAGGATCATTAAAAGTCCTGCTTAAGGCTTTTATGGGAAACTTATAGAACAGTGATGGAAAATGTTAAGTGGAATGAGAAATTAGAAGATGTGTATTTTGAAATTTTAAAGAAGGTGAGTGAATTTTGTTTGAAATATAAACGTAAGGCTGAATTTTAATGGTTCTGCGATCAAACAAACAGGTTATATATATTTTTGATAGTTTTCTAGATTTGTGTTGGATTTAAATGAAAGAGAATTAGACATAAAACGAAATCCTACTCATGTAGACTTGACAAAACCAGCTACTAATGACAAACATGTAAATGCCATTTTTGATATTGTTAAAACAGCTATGGCCTTAGACATGCAATCAGAAGCATCCAAAACATTAGAAACTGTTATGGTGCTCAAGTCAATGAGGAGAGGTAATTTCAAAGCATCCTATCTAATGCTCTATTATGATTTACTTTCTTAGATTTTTTAGAAATCTGGGAACAGTTTATTTTAAGCTTTTGCCTATTATAATCATTATTTAGCATTTAAAAAAAAGCCAGTTTAAACATAAGAAGAAATTAAACGTAAAAATGTTGAAATTAATGAAAAATTATCTCATTTAGTTTTGTCCGTATTGGTCATACCATTATTAAGTTCTGATTTCAATCAAAGAGATAGAACAACTTCTTTGTTTGAAAAAGGAACAAAAATACCAAGAAGAGAAGATTTATTAAAAATTCTAGGAGAGATGAATGCTGTCAAATTTGTTTAACCAATAATTTAAAAGGTTTATCTCTTATTAGAAAATCAATAAGATTTATTGACAGTATCTGATTAGGCCAATCGAGTTTTTACTGAATTGAGACAAAATGAAAAATATTTATTATTTATCCCTCTGCTTGAAGAAAATCTTGTTGGATAAGTATTGAAAAGCATATCAAGAATTTATAGAACTATTAAGTTAGATCAATTAAAAGACTTATTGAAGTTTACTAATTCAGAAACTATATTCCAAACTTTGATATATTCAAATTCAAATAAGTTTATCAGTTGCAAAGTTGATTTTTAATCATAAATTGTATCTTTCAATTCAAATCAAATATCAAATGATTAATAAATATTGCCATCAGTATTATTAAATTTGTAGCCTTCAAGAACAGTTCAAGATCCAATTGAACAAGCTAAAAAACAACTGGATTCTTCCAATCTTGTCATTTTAACAAGATAATAGACTCTGAAAAATTTGAATAGATTGGCAGATCCAGATCTTATTAAAAAGAAAGTGGATGAGGATAATTAAAAAGTTATTTAAGAAATGAAGGAGTAAAGAAGATAAGATGAGGAAAGAAAAAAATTTGAATAAGAGAGAATAGCTGAGATGGAAGCAAAGAAGGCAAAAGAAATAGCTATTAGATAAAAGTTATTGCAAGATATTATCAAATTAAAAGGAGGAAAATATGTCACATTTGAAATCAATGGAGAAAGAAAGAAAATTGAATTACTAAAAGATTACCATTTATTAAATATAGATACAGGAATACTATAGGATATAAAAAAAAAATTTGAGGAAGAAGCAAAGAAAGGAGCTGATGATAAATATTTGAGAACTTTTAAAAAGAACGATTATATTGAAAGAGAGAGAGCCATCATGGAATCCAAGATCATAACTAGCTGGCCTGAAGATAATATTGAAGAAGCCTAAAAAAAGCATTAAGAATAGTATCAAGCAAACCTAAAATTAAAAGAAAGCTTAACTGATGCATTTAAATATCATGATGAAATAATTGCTTAGAAAAGACAATAGAAGGAAAAGGAATTTTAGAAATAAGTTGAATAATTTAAAGTAGAATTAACTTAGAAATTTAAAAAGCAAATATAAGATAGAGGATTGGAATTATTCAAATAGGATGAAGAAAAGAAATTAAGAGAGGAGGAGGAAAGAAAGAAAGAATAAGAAGAAAAGGAAAAAAAATTAAAAACCGTATAGGCTGAAAAATAAACAGCTTTTGAAAGTAAATTTACTAGAAGTACTTTTTAATCCCAAACCTCATAATCGTTATAATAACAGTAACCATAATAACCTATCTAATAACCACCTTAATAATCAGCACCATAAACATAAATTGGAAGAAATACTTTAGGATTTAGTAACTCTAAGCCATAAGTTGAAACATAATAGAACAAGCCTATTTAGCAATTTACAAGAAGCACTGCCTAATCCTCACAATAACAACAATAAGAGCAGCCATAATAATAACCACAATAAAATTAATAATAATAGCCGTAGTAACAGTAAAGACAGATATAATAATCAACAACTCAACCAGCACAAAAATTTTAGAGAAAAAAATGAAGAAAATTATTACATAATTTCTATTTAAAGAGTTTTTACAATATTCTTAATTATTTTATCCTCAAATCTCTAATTTTTCAACCTTCTTTTTCAAGATTTCTAATACTTTCATTTTTATATTGGATTAGTAATGTCAAAATAGTGAAATTGTTAGAAAACTACTTTTCAAAATTTAAGAATTACAAAAAACTATTAATTTGATCTTTTTTATATTTTAAATAAAGCTAGAAAATTAATTATCAATAGAATTAATGGAAATTTTTGTTTTTTAAGTTGAGAGGAATAACAATGTTCTAACTTTATAGCTATATGATTCTTTCTATTCGTATTTGGGAAAAAATCCTTTAATTTTCTGAAATTCTTTTTATATAAATTTTGAAATTCTTTTAATACATCTGCTAACTTTTCTTTATTTTTAATGAGGTTTCCCAGTTTTCTATATAAGATTTATCTGAAGATTTAATATCTCCGTTTATTCATTCCTATTAAGAGTTAATAAAATCATTGTAACTTAGTCACAATTAATCTAGATTCTAAATAACATTATTCAGATAACCAAGTAATTTTTAAAACAATCTTGTTTAATCTAAAAAGTTAAGAAAAAACAATTCAATGCGCAATAAAAATGAAGCTCTTTTAGATTTTATAATAACACCCAATTTTTTGTAATCAAACTAGTTGATCATGTTTGACAAAATAATTTTCATTGAGGTTGAATAAGGATTTTGAACGAAGAAAAAATATTCCAATTTCACAAATATGACAAAAAAAAAGCTAATGATAATTTGTAGATAGAAAAAAGGGCGAAGGGTCTCCGAAATAAATCAACAATTCAGACCTATCTATAATCTGTAATTCTTTTTTGACGAGATATATTGTTAAAATCTCTCTGAAAATGTGAATGATTTAGTTACGATGAGTGAGAAAAAAAGCAATAATTATTGGCATAATTGAATTTTTCAGAAATTAATGAATGCACAATTACTTCACTAATGATTTGCTTATAGACGCAGCTTCAATACTAATTTTTGGAAGAAAAAAATATTAAGATGAGATTGGTTAATTATGGATAAAATTAACTGATTATGATATTAAAATTAGATCAATAACTAAATTAGATCAATTATTAAAAATAAAATCCTCACAAGAGGATGAAGTCAAAATAGCGAATGATTTATTATTAAAGATGAACAGATCGGATGAAGTTTTGGAAAGAAGACCAATCCTATGTATATTGAGGCAAAATAAATATAATGTTGAAGAGTGGTTAAAAAGGATTTAGTTAGTCAAGGGGGATGAAAGAATGGCCTTGAAAACATTCACTGAAGTATTTGAAACTGTTGAGCCAAATTTAACAGCTAATGGAAAATTAAGCGATATTTGGATGGCTTATGCTGAATATTATGGAGAAAAGATTGGAAAACTTGTAGTTTAATCTTCCATAAGGGATCGAAGATAAAATTTTAAAATATAGAAGAGCATGTATACCTCTGGTCTTAATTGGTTGAAATATTACTTTTAGATGGATTTTTTAACGATTCCCTTTCTATCATACGGCTTATTTAAAAAGTATGTAAAAAATTAAATAAAATGACTCCATCTGAAATGGTTCCCTACTCTATGTTATTTATGGTAAATTTATTTAGATTTAAAAAGAAGTTTTGGAAATTTTAAATCATTAAGAGCAGCCTACAAGCGCATGGTTGATTGAAAGTCGTTACTCCATTTATAATTATTTATTATGCTTAACTTTCAGAAGATAATGCATTGTATGAAGAATCCTTTAAGATTTTTGAGGAAGGAGTCTAATTATTTGATTGGCCAGCTTTGTATGAAATCATTTACATTACTAAGTTTATTTAAAGATATCGGGGTAAAAAATTGAGAGAACAAGAAATTTGTTCGAAACTTTAATTGAATAAGTTTCAAAAAATGTAATAATTACAAAAAATTGTACTAGGATAAAATGGAAGCCTATAAATTAAAACTGTATTTAGTTACAATATATAAATAGCCAAAGTAGCTTTAAATTTAGGAATTACAAAAATAAGACCTGTGTTTGAGAGTGCCATTTAAGAGGCTGAATTTATGAAAATGGGAATAAGATTATTGAGGATCTGAAAAAAAAAATTCAATTTATTTGAATTATTACATGGTAGAGCAGATTGGAAAGAAAGTATGAATGAAATTATTCATCATTAATTTAATCTTAGATTATCAAGGGGAATATGACGGTAAAAAAAGATGTGGGATTGCAGTTAATAATTTTTAAACCACTTTTGATTTATGAATAGGGAAGTTGTCAAGAACAAACACAGCATTTCTTTCTTTCGTTATCATGACTTTTTACAAGCCCAATTAGTTATATAAAATGATGACAATAAATCTTACTTGTCACATACCCAATCGTTACTTGATAGCTTAAAAAATTATATGTTCCTATAGCTCCTAAAATTACAATATTGTTTGTCCTCTTCTGATAATTTAATACTCTCTATTACTATATTAATTACCAGCATTTATTCTATCTGGTCTAATGGCCTTAGGAAACCTCATCTAAATTTATAAAATCCTAATTTTCTTTCGAGTAGCTTAGGAATTTAATTGCATATTTTATCTAATTAAAATCAAATACAAATTTTAACTTTTTTGTCTTTTTTGCTTGGTAATCTGTAGGAAGCTTTGCAGTAATTTTTCAATATTTAGATAAATGCAAGGTATAATTAAATCATAATTACACGTAATTAATTATTTAATATACTATTTAACCTATAAATTTTATGAATATACTTTTATCAATAATAAGCTTTATAGCTGATTGCAATGTATTCTAAAGATTTCATATTTTCATCCTATCTACCTAATAGCGCTGGAAAATTACATACTGGATGGTTCAATGAATTATTGATATCAATTCCCTTAAGAAAAATTAAGATTTATTTGAACATTTGTCCCTTCCACTCAGCGAAAATATTTCTGTTCATTGCTTTAAGCAACCTCTATTATTAATAATCCTCCTTACAAAATGAAGTGTAGCTTCAACTATTTCTCCACAACCGAACTGAACTGTTCTCCAATTGAAAATGGCAGATAATATGGATACATTCCTACTTCCATTATTTCCATATTTTTGCATACCTATTTTAGCCAACACACCTCCTTCTTTAGCTTTTTAGACATAATTTTATTTATACAGATAAGTGAGATAAATTATAGCTGTAAAACAATTATGTTCATTGTGCCATCCTCACCATTCAATTCTACTTTGCCCATCAAAATAAAGTAATTATCTTTCAGCTCATGAGTCGCAAAATCTGATAAATTTATGGAATCTACTCATTACATAAGGATTACATTTTGAAAATTAATTAGGTTTCTTGGAAACTTATATTAAAAATTAGTTGAATATTTGAGTTAATATTAATGTATAGTGTAATAATTTGTCTTTTTGCTTCACATTTGAGATATAAAATTTCAAGTCAATCAAAGAAAATTGTTTTTTATATTTTTTAAAGAATCTATTTTCAAAACAATATCTGTGTTAAACAATTACAATTACTAAATCTCCTTAATTATAAGATAAAATTAAAATAGAAAAAAAGCATATCCTATAAGAATTATTGCAGATTTTTAGTATTTATCATGAAATTAAATTATGATTAATTTGTGAAAAAATATTTTCCAGTTTAACAAATAACAAACCTAAAGGAATCCTCTACATTAATATTTTTATCAAAGTAAGGATAAATAATAAAAGAATAAAATTTTACAGAAAATGAATGGCTATTATGGAGGGAATATTTTCGATAGGAAATTGAGTTATAAAATATTCTAAATGAATATGAACCTAATTACTTTCTCAAAATTTTGGATTGGGCTGAGGAATTTTAAGAATAATTGCACAAAGTGTTGATTATTTATGAAAACTAAAAGGATAGTTAAAATTTAGAATTATACATAAAAAATAATACAATTAGTCAAGAAAAATTGATAAATATCATTATTTAAATCCTTGGAATAGGAATGGCACTTTAACGTAGAATGATTTTTCACTTAAATATAACTCCAAAAAATTTGATATATGTTAACGGATTTATTAAGCTTACTGACTTTGGTAGTTCTAGAGTAATACACAAATAGTATTATTCTTAAAAATATTCTGAAGAACGTAAATATTATTATCATTTTTATTAATCTACTTCTATGTTAAAAATAAAAATGAAAGAAAATTTAGAAGAATAAGATTTATCATTTTAAGAAATAGTGTCAAATGAATTATTACAAAATTAAATTTTTTAACAAAACGATGAATGGTCATTAAGTCTAATAATTTGTTAAATTATAACAAAACAATTTGATATAAAAATTAAGCACTATGAAGACTTTTTTTGTTTTAATTCTTTCAGAATAAAAGAAATGATGAAATAAGTGAGAAATTCATTTCCTCAACTTTATATATTTTGTAATAAATTAATCGAATAAAGACTAGGATTAAAAGTAGCCTATAATACATTAATCGAAATAACTTCCTCATCTAAAGCTTCTATTTCAAAAATAAAACCTTTGATAATGAGGCTTGACCCACTCAACAATTATTTAGAAAGGGAATAAGCTACTAAAATGATTGAAGTGGCTAAAAATTATTATTATGTATCCAAAGCTGAGATCTAAATATAAGAAGAAGGATAAATTTATTATTAGTTGAACTCCAATAATTTATTGACAACTGCTCCTAATAATAGTAAGAAAAGTATTGATGATGAGAAGCAACATAAATTGTAGATTTTGCATTAAGCTTACAATTTAATAAATACATTTTTTGTAAGAGAACCATTAAGTGTTAATAAACTAAATAACAGTTAGTTGAAATAGCTGCATTTAATTGAGAAAAAATAATAATCTCCCAAAATTTAGCACTAACATACTATTAGAGATTTATAATCTTGTAAAGAAATAAGTGGATCAGAAGTAAATTCAATGTAATAATCATTTATAAATTAAAATATTTATAGAGATTCCATTTTATATAAGAAATCTAACTAATTAAAACTAGCTACTATAATCCAGCTTTTTTGGGACTAGGATTTTATGTAAAATTATTTATTGAAATAATTTTATATCTAAAGCTCTATTCATGGTGAGTATGAGTTTAAGTTTAATGATTCTTAATCTCATTTATTTAATTATAAAAGTAAAATATTGAGGATATAAGATAAAAAATAGATTTATTAAGGATACGAAAAAGATAATATACCTTATGGAATCGGTATTAAGCTTATTAGAGAAAAAAACTGGAAATTGATATTTGGAGTTTTCGAAAATGATTAAATTTTCTAATCTATAATGATTGAGCAAAATAATCAAAGATCAATATAAATTTATTAAGGCAAATTGAATGAAAATCAAATGAAAGAAGGTCAATGCATATTTGATTGGTTTAGACTTGTAAATAACAATCTCTTAAAATATTAAAAGCATATTGGTTTAATAAAATAGAATAAAATTTATGGATACGGAGTTAGAATATACTATTAATATTTTCATTCATAAATTAATTTTATATATAAAGGAAACTTTGAGAATTCTTAAAAATAAGGTAAAGGATAGCTTTTCAAGGAGTAAGATGGCAATTTAGATTTAATATTTGATGGAGAATTCAAGTAAGATTAATACAGTGGAGTAGGATTAGCTTATTTTTAGAAGGATTTAACCATATAAGCAACCTTTTTAGAAGGAAAAATCAATCAATTTTCAGAGTTGAAATTTAAAGAAAATTCAGTAACTATTTTTTGAATTAAAAAATTTAATATTAAATAATTAAATCATAATTATTTTTGATGGTTTATGTATCTTATGGTTATAAATTTAAACTCTTTCTATAAAATAAAAAGAGATCTTTTATCAGTTATTGGTATAAAGATTTAATTTCCAAAGGATTAAGACTACATTTTTTATTATTTTTACAACAAAAATTCATTATTAACTTCTGTAATTTTTTATTTCTAATTTGATTAAATTTATTTCTTCTTTTACTGAAGAATACATCTAATTTATCTATTTTATACTAACTTATTTATGTAATAGAACAATATTGTTTTTATTCAATTTTTTAGCTGGAAATAAATTAATAATAGTTTATACTTGAAAGTTTATTATTTAATTCTTCTTTTCCTTTAATTAATCGATAATCAGTTTCATAATATTTTAATTAACCATTTAATTTATAAGAAATAGCTGAACTATTAAAATATAGAAAGAATTCAGTTTTTTTTTAATTGATTTTTTTGAGAAGTTGAAAAATAAGGGAAGCAGTTAACAAGCTTAATATTTATTTATTTAGCCACTGTAATTAGATTTGAACCCAAGCCTTAAATCCTTGATTGTTTAATTTTCAAAAATGGAGCATCTGATATGAATTTATAGATTATCAAAATTTGACTTAATTTGTAAGATTAACTTTACCAAATAGAATAATATAAATTATATTTTTAAAGTAATATTGGTGAGCGATAATTATTCTGAAAATGATGTCACTATCTGTTCTATCAGAAACTATAATTTTAATTTTTTTTCTTTTTTTTGTCAATTGAAAAAAATAATCATAACTTTCACTTTTGAAAACCAATTATAAATTTTACAAAACCAAGCAAAGTTTAGAGATGAGATTTAATTTATTTTTTCGATAAATGTTATTTATTCAAAAATTTCTTAGTTTTTATTTTCCAAATGTAATACTTATCTCGATATTTTATTTATTATTAAGAATTATATTTGTATTGGTATTTTGAAACATCATAGCTGTCTTAGAAATTTTATCTTTCTAAAAAATTCTGATAAAAATGAAAATATTGATGAATCAATATATAAAATATTTTAATCCCC